TTGAATTGATTCTATGAATGATAATGATAACTTTAGTAATAATAATAATAATCTTATTTCTAATAGTATATTAGACAATAAAAAAGACAATCCACATTATTCTCGTCTACCTTTTTTTTTAATTCACACTTCTTCCCAGTCATATTTTATGCAATCATGAAGAGCTCGGCTATAGAATCATGAAAGAGCAGCACAATTGTTAAGAACCAAATCATCGCCAAATACTACTAGGATGCTGGAGTGGGTTGTTCTGTTCACTGAATCATACATAATTATAACATATTATTTTTTAAGCATTTATTAAGGGCATCATTTATATAGTGGAACACCGAAAGTAATTATTCTTGCATCCGTTTATGAATTCTTGGCCCAAACATTCACCAAGTCAAGGTTTATTGGTTCTGCTTTCAATGAATTTTGCACAAACCAAGTCAAGGATTATTGGTTCTGCTTTCAATGAACTTTGCACAAAAACATTTACCGAGGCAAGGTTTGCTGAAATATTGGTTCTACCTTCACTGAGTTTAGTCTTGTTTGGTTAGAGGACTTTGGAGGGGAAGGGAGAAAAGTAGGGTGGGGTGTGTTTAATTGGGGGAGTTAGGAGAAAGCAGGAGGATGGTGGATGAGCTATGGACTCTTCCAAACTCTTCATATCTCACCCTCCCAATTCCAGCGATTTTAGTGCCTTTTTTCTTAACTTATTTTCAACATTTTTATGAATATTATTTTGCATTGTTATTTGTATTTCCATGCATATTAGAAACTATTTTTTATCTATAGCAAAAAATTATACCAAATAGTTCCCTTGTTCTTGATTACATGCAACATTAGGCTTGACACGTTTGCCGATGCAGTGATGCACACATTAAACCATTAATATCTTTAGTTATGTATTAGTAAAAATTATAGAAAGGAGTCATTTTTTAAATGTTGTGGTTTTGGGTAAATAATGGATATTCAAAATGGCATATTAGCTTCGGAGTACATTCAATGTAGTTTTGGGTAGTAAATGCATTAAGGGTTTAACGTAAGTAGCTAGCCTCTCTGTTTTTTTACAAGGGTAAGAGTGCTTACATCTTGACCTCCAAGACCCCAACATCGATGGGATTATATTGGGTTTGTTGTCGTTGTTCCAAAATATTATTTCCTCATTAATTTTCCATTTCCCTAAAGGAGTTGGGATTATACTAGGTTTGTGGTACTCTCTTCTCTTTTCCTCCTCCTCGCCCCCCCAACCCCTGTTTTTTTTCTATTTGCACATAACACCATTCTTTCCCGATACAAATTCACCATTGCTCTATCCAATATGTCTCTGAAGCAATTTCTGTCCTGGGTCTTAATTCTTATAATGCAGTTTAGTCCTGTTGGGCATTACTTTGCCAGTGCCTCACATGATCGAACAGCAAGGATCTGGTCTATGGACAGGATACAGCCTCTAAGGATTATGGCCGGCCACTTATCTGATGTTGATGTGAGTTTACTCTTGGATTTTATATTCTTTCTGTTATCTTTTTGTGGAGTTAGTAAGATTTGGTCTTCAGTATCATATTCTAGTACATTTATCTAGTCGGGTAGGAAGCCATATGCATGAGTCAATAGAACGATTTCCTTCATTTAAGGAACTTGGTTCTGAGGATAGGAAAAAGAATGCAGCAGAGAAAAGAGGATATGGTAGGTTAATAACTTTAAAACAAAGTCCTCGAGCTAATTAGCTAAAGCATGTCTATTTTTCCACAGTTTGTCACTTCCCCTCAAATTGGAGTGTACAAATCATATGCTCCAAGTTTGTTACAAATATATTTTATCCTACAGCCTCGATTATGTTTTGTCAAGATGTTCGGAAGTTGATTGCATGCACTGACATAATAGACATTATAAGTGCCATAACACGATATTTTGCTTCAACACCCGATGACTTGGTCTTCCAATAGATTAAGTTTTGACCAATTAAGATACCCAGCTCAGTGAGCCATTAAGTGTCCCATAGAGGTCTTCATTTGGCAAAACCAAACCATACCAAACTTTTGGTTATATTATTTTTGTACCAAAGTACCAAACCATAATAAATCAGTTCGGTTTGGTAAAGACCAAAAATATTTCGGTTTGGTAATTGGTGAAACCGGAAAACCCAAAATAACAAACAAAATAATAGTTTCAATACCATTCGTCCTTAAGTTTTCCAAATCTTAAAAAAACAATTAATATGGGGAAAAATATACTAAGAAAATAATTGGTTTGGTTTTTGTTGACTTGCATTTTAGGTCATAAGTTGTCTACTCATTTTAGCTCTATATCTTTATGCAACTGTTAGTTGCATGAAGTTCCACCGTGGCCCAAGCAAGTTACATTAAGATGTGAAACACACGAGCACTTAAATTTTTGTCTCACTCTTTCTCTCCCCCACACACACTAATATGTGCACACCCATATTGCACTAAAAGACGATATGTTTCTTGCATCTTTAGTTTAGAAGATGACTTTTTCTTTCATATACCGGAGTATAAATTAAAAAAGATGAGTACTGCATCATTGTATGTATTATACTGTTATGCCGTGCTTTTTTTTCATTTTTAAAAGATACCATTGTTGTATTTGAACAAATGACTTTTGACTTTACAGTGTGTGCAATGGCATGCCAACTGTAACTACATTGCAACAGGATCGAGTGACAAAACTGTTCGCTTGTGGGACGTCCAGAATGGCGAGTGCGTCAGAATTTTCATTGGTCACAGAGGTATGATATTGTCACTGGCAATGTCACCTGATGGCCGTTATATGGCATCGGGCGATGAAGATGGGAAAATCATGGTCTGGGATCTTGCAAGCGGGCGCAGTATAACACCTTTGGTTGGTCACACCTCTTGCGTATGGACACTTGCTTTCAGGTTGAAACCAAGTTCTTTATCTAATTGGATTGGTACCGTCTTTGTACTTTGATAGTAGTAATCTATATTTCTAAATGTGAACAAATTTCAGTTGCGAAGGCTCTATTCTTGCATCTGGTTCTGCAGATTGCACTGTGAAATTGTGGGATGTAACCACGAGTACCAAGATTCAAAAATCTGATGAGAAGTGAGTTCGTGTACACATTTTGCTCATTCCATGGTTATTTTTTCAACCTTTTTTCCCCTTCTAAAACAGAATAATCTTCTCCTTGTTAGCAAATCCGGGAGTGCCATTAGACTCCGATGGTTGAAGACATTGGCTACCAAATCCACACCAGTATACGCTCTGCGTGTAAGATTCCTTGTCAATAATCCCCCCACACCCACCCCACCCCTTTGGCGCTTTTTCACAGTAATCTTCTTTATCCGCGCGTTTCTAAAGTTTATTTTCCGATTGTTGTGGTTACTGTTTTTGGAGCAGTTCTCTCGAAGAAATCTTCTCTTTGCCGCTGGTGCATTTTCTCCAAAAGTGCATAAAACTACTTGTTAACATTGAACATTCTGAAGTGGCAGTATGGTTTCTGTTATCTTTGGTATGTCATCAGTCTATAGTTGCCTAGTTGCCTTCAGCATTTTGTTTCTCATTTTATGCTAACTGTGGTACTTCTAGTCCTTGTAAGAAAGAATATGCTATTTAAATCCCAGATATGACACCAAGGTTCACACCGGTAATCACACACAGATAGTCCCAAGACGAAAAAAGTTGGAGGAACTCTAGACACCATCTTTGACACTAGTGTGTGCACACACAAACAATAACTATCAATGCAGGAACTGTGTCTGTGAGAATGATCTCGAATAAGGAGCTCCCCTAGCACGGCCAGTCATGAGACACTGGTGATGTCAACCTTGGTGTCATGCGTGATGCGTAGTGTGATTGTAGCATGACTTTTCTAAGAATACTTTTTTTTCTTTTTTTTTTCTTTTTCTGTTTTCAGCTTACAAGAAATGTAATTCATGGAACAATCCTGAAAACCAAGGGGGGGCTTTGATTGCTGTTTGATGATGGATGATTAAGGAAGCCAGATTGTGCTCTTCCATATATATAGACACACAACTTTAACTTATATTGAATAAAATGCACTATATTCATGAATGTGACATGATGGACAAAACGCCCTTGATGGATATGTGACCGACTTCGTTGTTAATTACTCCCTCTGTCCCACAATGAATAACACTGTTACTAGTATGGCATTTCAATAATAACTTTTATTTACTTGTGTTCATTCATTGAACGTTTTTAAAGTAAAATATTCCTTCACCTATTATTTATACAACTTTTAACCTGATTTTTAACACACGATATTTTGTGTCTAAATAAGAAGACACATCTTTGATATACTCCGTAACTAGGTCGTTGTTGAGATTTTACACATAATTCGAGGATTGATTCGGATGGATGGAGTAAGTATTACGCTCAATAGTTGCAACTAGTTGAGACCCACAATGAGACGGGCGGATAGTATCCAATCCGAAAGTGAAGTAACCCAACCTGTTTGATCACGGTTGAACCGGCAGCTAAATTTACTTAACAAGGAATGAAATCAAGGCAGTCATGACCCCATGTAATTCCAATGGATTAAAGTCCACCAACACCATTCTCATTGTTGAGAACCATTTTCACCAAAATCAAACCTTATTCGTTTTATTTCATACAAACGACCTTTGATTCTTGTGAAATTTTAGAATTACGAAATATAGTACTCCCTCCGTCCACCTAAGATCTTCTCATTTTGATTTTTTGCGGTTTTTAAGGAGACTTGAAAAAAGGTGAAAGTTTACTATAATACCCTTAATGAAAATGAGTGGAGTATATTAAATGAGGTGAGTAAGGTGTAATAAATAAAGTAAGTGGGGGTAGTTGTGGTATTTTCATTTTTAAAAAATGAAATGAAAAGATCTATTGTGGACAAAGAAAAAGAGCTATTGAGAAGATCTATGGAGGACAGAGGGAGTATAAATTAGTAACTCCAATCCTACAATGAGTAAGACCAAAAAAAAAAAATAAGTAACTTGATTGAATCCCACACAAAGTAGGGTCTATGACGGGAAAAATACAACTTTTCTTCATTAAACAAGGGAAAACAAGTGTTAATATTCGGAACAAAATTTCAACATACAACAAATTTACACAAGCAGTTCTTGTATTCCCAGAACGTTCGACAGTGTGATTGCGATGATGACGGTCCTCAAGAACAACGAATTTGAAGCATTTGATGAACAACCCGAATGCCAATCAGTGTTTTTGAAAATCAAATCATATGAGGAAACACACATTATCAGCTGTACAAAAATGATTAACCTGAGTGTGTGTTTTTTATATCCTGACTGACCTATGGCAGGCATCTTGATGCTCTTTAGCTGCTTTAGATGACAGGTTCAGCTATGGTATGGCATTTCCAATTGGCACACTACTAGTGCCTTCTCTGAGTCCTTGAAGGGAAGCATGGAGAGTTCTCTGAATGCCATCTGCAACAACCCTGAGCCTGCCTTGGCTCACATCACCAGCAGAACTACTCGCGTCCACAATCCGTGTCACTCTCTGTTTGCACCTCTCCCAATCCTCGGCTCGCACCCAGCATGCCCTCCCACCATGGCTCCCTTCCATTTGGAGGAACGACACGGCGGGGTTCTCCCCAAATGCGTACCTCAACCTGACAGACACACAGTAAGGCAACCAAGCAGCGCCACCCGCGGCGTTTATGTGGGGTATGTGGGTGGGGTCGAGGACGACCGTGAGAGCAAAGTCGACGGAATTGCGGGGCCTGTCGTAGTGGATGTTGCTTTTGGAGCAATGGGTGCTCTCGTCCGCGCCACACCCGGTGTGGTTCTCAAGACACAGTTCGATGCGCGATTTCTGCGCGGGGGCGGGGATGACATCAGCAGCACCTTGGGTTTGGGCCAGCCCTTTCTTCCAGGCAATGAGTTTCAAGAATTCTCTTAGAATTGAGATTGGCAGAGTTAGGAGTGTGATGAATGAAGCGACGCGGGAAGCATCGTAGGGCTCTGATGCAACACGGCGGCAGAAGTAGTCGCAGATTTCTCCGATTTCAGATTGGGAGAGTTCCTCTGAGGCAGCTGAAGGATTTTGCTGCTGCTGCTGCTGCTGTTGGGATTGATGGAACTTTTTTACACTGAGGACCTGGAGAAGAAGTTGAACTCTGTGTACACTGACCGCAAACACATAGCCTCTGCACGAGAGAAAAAAATAATGAATTTAGACAGATTTGTTTATTGCACAAGCGGAGTTCCAAAAACTATTCGAACCAAAAGCGGAATGTTTTAGAAAATTAGGGACAGAACCAACTCCACATCAAACCTCATTACCCAAATTAAAAATCTTGGTGTGATAGCGACTTGACAGAGAGATGCAACACTAAATCTTAATTTTATCTGCTGAACCAATAAATTGATAGTTAAGTCCACTAATGAATCCCGACCACGTAAATTTCATCTGCCTAAAATACAGTGTAAAAAACCAAACGAGAAGAACAAATTGGGATGAGAGGAGTATGTCTAAAATACAGGTCCAAACATATGTCTACACTTATTGGTACATATCACCAATGATGACAATAAATTTTCATTGTGCTTCCATAGGTACCTTATTGTATGTCTTCTCCCAATATATAAAACCATGCACATGTTTGATTTATAGTATGATCACAACATAATACTCCCAGGGTTGTCTAATACACAGTAAAAAGTTTTCTAAAATTCTATGATATATCAATGTATTTCCTTAATCTATGATCCATTACCACCCTCTCCTAAACATCATGGTACTCGTGGGTTGTATCCCGTTATAGTTCGCAAAGTCTGGCACAACTTTGTTTCACTCACAGATGGAAATATGTGTGTGTGTGTGTAATGAAGAATCTTACCCAACAAAAAACCGCAAGGCGGGCTGTTCTTCATCTAAGTTCAATAGTGAGCCCTCAGTCTCCTTAAGAATTGACCTCAATATCTCTTTTAGAAGATCTGGTAACTGTGCAAATAGCCACAATACTCCAAGATATTTGAGAATGCCTCTAAGTACTTTTTTGAGTGCAACAAGAGGAACCCATCCACCACCATATCCTCCATCATCTCCAAGACCGATAATTGCAGTGTTGAGTTCCCCCCTGACATGTGCAGGTACACCTGTACCAGATGGTCTGCGTAATGGCATCCCTGAATTCATTCCATATAAACTTGATGACGGTGGAATACCATTGCCAACACGATTCAGAGCAGAAACAGTAGTTCCTGACCGAACCACTACGGTAGAATTCGAGAGGTTCGGCCTGCTCGCATTGGCAGCTGTAAGTTGGGTTCCTGAATTCAAATTTGAACTATTTGAATTCACTAACCCAACTGCTTGTTGACCACCGGAGAAGTTAGAATCTATACCATTTAACTCCTGAGCAACATGTTCCATGATGAAGGGTCGAAATTGGGGACAAGGCAGTGACCCTCCCACTGTAGAACCACCTTTAGGTGGAGTTGCTGGTTGCAGCCAAACCTGGTCTCCAGCAAAACACCTCATATCGACAGCAAAACGTTTCCTATATATGATACGTATCCAGTAGGGACCACGAAGTACTACAGAGACATCAATAGGTAACAGTGAACTAGGAACAATGCCAGGCCCACCTCTCCCAGTAGCAGCTGCTGCTGCTGCAGCCAACATTGCAGCAGTATGGTGGTTTGGAGCCCCAGGAGGACCAGTGTTTGATGCTCCAAGATTGCTTCCAGGACCAGATGAAGTCTGGTGGTTAACACCTGCATTCGAGACATTTGGTAAATGCCCCTGAGGTGGCAGATTACCAGTCTGTTTTGAAATAGAAGTAGCCAGTGTTGCAATGCCATTAACTCCCGACACAGGAGCAGCTCGTGCAGGCCGTGTTGCAGAAGCAAGAGCATGCAAAGGTCCAGCTGTGAGGCGAATACAATCCAAGAGTGGTGCAACCTCAGCTCCATCAATAAAATCTTCAAGAAACTGCATGTCAAAGAATCACAGAATGAAATGGACTCATCCAGGAAATGGATGTCAATAATGTCATGTCATGAAGTTTTTGATAGCACTGACCAAAATGTCCAAAAGGTCAATGTTGCCTTGCTAAAATGGATACTTAATACTAAGATATACACGTATCATTACTGCACTATACCCACAAAAATTAAATATTTCTAGTGTTCTATCATAGCTGTTGTTCACAAACCATATACTAACACAGAAAAGACCAAGTAAATGCAAAAAAAAAAAACATAGTCAAGGTACACTCACAGCCTTGAATAAAATCAATAATGAGCAGTAAAGTATAGTCTTATAGACTTTCATATCCACTCAAGGAAAACAAACCTTCGTATGTGGCCACAATTGGTCAGGTGAAACATGCATTGTGCAGCCTTCTTTACCTGATTCCCATTCAACAACAAACCGAGCAACGACACCCTGACCATAACTAAACCATAGACTCATAAGTCCAACCGCTTCAATTATAAATGATCTTCTCAATTGGTCTGAAGTCTTATTGGTCGACTCAGTACCACTTTTTAGTCCAATTTGTAGTTTACTCTCCAAATTTGGACTGCTTGCTTCCGACTTTTCATCTGTTCTTGCACCAAGTAACTTTCTCATTCCAAGTGCAAATGCACAAGCATTAGAGAGCCTTTGTATATCAGCCACTAGTTTTTGGATACTATCAGCCTCAACAGAATGATAACTCAAAGTAACACCCTCTGAATCATAATGGATATGAGAATCTGCATCAGACGTATTGGCAATCCGAACTCCAGGCCCCCATTGAGTACTAGTCCCACCCTTTTGAAGCTCCCACAAGTCCTGAAAGTGTTGGTCAATGATTCTGACATCCCAATACATACTTCCAGGTCTCCCAAGCCGCAAGCATATGTGCTGCCATGCATCATCTCTAGCGAAAGGAAGTCGAAACCACAGCTTTGAAGATGCACATCTGAGTCCCACCTCTTCAACAAATGGGATGCCAATTGCATCCATCTGACTAGTAAGTTGGGCGTGCTTGATACAAAGAGAGCAATGCCTGATAACATGAAGAAGAGCAGAAACATATACAGTAGAAGGTGCATTGCCTTTATGAGTCTCATTTAATAGGTCAGCATAACTATAATCATCCGTTTTAGCAGGCATCTCAAAAGAAAATTGAATTTGTGACTGAAAGTGATGAGTGCTAGCTGATTTCATGATCTTCCTTCTCTTGTAAGATCCCTCATTGCATTCTATCCCTTGAAGAGATCGAAGTGAATCTAATAAATCTGAAACTGTACGCTTTCTGGGCATTTTATTTTGTCTATAAGCTGCACCAAGACTTGAATTTGAACATGTAGCAGAATCAGTTTCTTGGGCTGAAAGCAGCAGGAAAGAAACTTAAGAGGATGATCACAAAGCACAACAAACAAATAAGAATACATACACACGTAGATATATTTTTTCCAGAGGAAGTATCTTACATAGGGGACTCGTAATCAATGAGTTCGATATGGAAGCCCTAAGGTTTCCAGATACCATCTCCAAAGGAGAGCTCTTTGGGGCACTTGACGTTCCAGCTAATAAAGGAATTGGATGGGTTGGTGGAGATAAAAGTTGACTTCTTCCTGAAAATGAGGGTAGTGAACTAATGGATCCCGGAGGTACCACCCCCTCGTACAAAGAACCATTATAAGTATTAATAGCATTGTTCTGAAACGTCTGCACTCCTCCCCATTTTGGAGATGATGAGCCAACTTTTGAACTATGAAAATTTGTTGAGTCGTGAACAAAATTAGAAGCAGGACTGGCAAATCTTGATGAGGGGGCAGCACTAATCAGAGAAGGAAGAGAGGACCCTTTTTCCAGTTGAAACACTTCATCAACAATGGATGAAAAAGTAGGAGCAGCAGAACTAACCATAGAACCTTCAAAGCTAGACTTAGAAAGATCACTGCTTTCAACTTGTTGGGTAGTGTTATCACACTGCAAAGATGACAACAATTTCCTGTAGTTAAGAAGACTCAAATTTAGTACATCCTCGTAAATCTGCATCTGACCAACATCAACACTTTTGGAACGGACAACATTGGTTGAATCACCAAATGATTGAGCTTTTCCAGAAGAATCTGACTGAATTTCCAGTAGCTTGAAAAGTGGTTTGAAATCCTTGTCAAGTTGCATCAACAAATAATAAGAACTTCCACATTCTGGAAATCTCATAAGCAAGAGACTTGAACCACTGTTCATAATCTTTGGCAGCTTCAGTGATGCTAAACCATGTTCAAAAACCTGCAGGAGTACATGAAACTATTAAGTCAGTCATCTTTCAAAAAGAGAGACAAGTGTAACTAAAACAATGATGAAAGTTAAAAACTCAGTTAAATCATCTAAAATATCACGTTACAACAAGGCCCATGTTAGACAGCCAGTGACAGTCATATGCCATCTAAACTTAAAAGGTACTAGTACATGCCTAATCAAAATAGGTCAAGACTCCTCAAGTGATTAAAGTAGAGTAAAATTACTAAATTCAAGAGAAAACAACAACAACAACGACAACAACCCAGTTAAATCCCACAAGAGTGAGTAGGGTCTGGGGAGGGTGTGTGTGCGCAGACCCCTACTCGAAAGTACAGAGGCTGTTTCCAAAGAGACCCCCGGCTGAACATCGAAAGTTGCATTGCTTGACTAACTGCTACTTCATTAATTAAAGAAGCGCAGACAGTTTAGAGATCCATTTTGATTTATTCCATCACACCCCAAAGCCAAAAAAATGGTGAAATTTTGGCTCCATCGGAGATGATGGAAAAACTAAATTCAAGAGAGAAGATGTTAAAAGATAAAGCAAACACATAATTTAGAATAAAGTACTGACTACATGTGGAGAGCATAGTGGTGGAACATGTTCTCTCATCTCTGTTGGACAATTTATTTTAATGTCAATTTTCTATAGGCCTTGCAGTCCATCTTAAGGGAGTAAGGGACATGTATGTACTCGCCTCCTTGGTCATCTTACCCATACATAGTTTGAGACAAATTTTATGTTTTGAAAAAAAAATCATTAGCTGGATCAATTCATACAATGATTGACAAACTTTTTGATGATCTTTCTAAATTTATAATGTTTTTAAGGGGGACCATATTAATTCCACAGTTCACTATTGTAATTCAAGTCACTTTTCTCATATTGTGCTGTAATGTGCATACAACTTCATAAATATTGATGGCAGTATAGCAACAACAATAATGATATTATGGCCCCCACATTCCAAAAACTACTCAAGTCACCCTTTTTATTGCTTATAAAATTCACATCAAGTTATTATTGTTGTTCTTTTTATTGTTATTAATGAGATATCCAGTACATAATAGTTATAGTAATAGTAGTTTGAGATTATTATGATTTAAATAATAACAATAATAATAATCACAAGTAATGACTTGTTAGGGAACTGAGAAACTCTCAATACTTTGTTGGCGTAGGATTTTGAAAGAAATATGTTTGGTTTGGTGATTAAGTTGACTTAACTTGTTTAGAAGACGGGTTTACGATAAGTTATCAAGTTAATTAATGTTAGAAAATAAAATTAACAAATTGAAAAGGTTAAGTTTTATACTCCCTCTGTCCCAACATAAACTTCACACTTTCTCTTTCTGTTTGTCCCAAAATAAACTTCACACTTTTCTTAATTCTTTTTAAGAAAAGGAATAAGTGGTACTATGGCTCATATCATTGCTCTTTCTACTAAACAATTTTTAACCATGCACTTTTCACGTTTTAACATTTTTCTTAAATTCCGCAGAGTCAAAACCACGAAGTTTATTTTGGGACGAAAGAAGTATTAAATAGACTCGGGCAAATGTTAGAACTTAAAAAAATATCAATGAAAATAAGTGAACAAAAAAGAATTAGTTTGACCTTTAAGTAGTAGCAGAGCAGGGAAATTGCCCATTTAGTCAGAGCCTGCACAGGAGAATAATGAAAAATTGTACATATATACCTCAAGGCCTAAAAACCTTCCAACACAGGCAAACAAGTGCAATAAGCTTTTGCTTCTCAAGCTTATAAAAGCTTCTGCTGCAGACGTATTCCCCTGGTTTAAGGCATCTTCATGCTCAATAAGTACTGATGATGCTATTATATTCTCTGATGACTGAAGAATGAAGCGTCCTATCCTAAACAAGAGAAAAATAACACGTGTTAAGACACCGAAACATGATGTAAGCTATTGAATTGTGGGTGCAAACTCTTAGTAAAATCAAAGAGGCTTTTGCTTCCAAGTCATTGTATGCATCACTTCCTTAATCTCAAAAATACTTTGTAGCTTACATCAATCTGATGTATTGTCACAAATACATAATTGCCTGCTACTGACTCCATTAAGAGCCCATGGCATCTCACATTTAGATGTTTATTGGGAGATAACCTATAACACGAGCAAGTGTTTCTAAACAAGAGCTATTCTAGTAAGTTTTGTTCTACCATTTCTTTCTAATCTCCTACTAACAAATGCACAACCATAAACCTTTATCGAACATGTTGCAACCATTTACTATGTTCTCTACCAATTTATCTAATAACTTGTATCACCTGCGTATATTCAACATGATCCTTTCTAGAATTTTGCACACATTCATTTAGCAATCTAATCATTCTCATATCAGATATGGCTCATTTATGACCATTCTGCTTTGCAGTCTTACACTGATCCAGTGCTAAGTGACAGATTTTTTTTCAACCTTCAAGAAGTTTATGGGGTCTCCACTCACCAACCAATCACATTTTATGATTTGTATGTTATGAATTTTGAGGTGATGACAACCAGAACGGTCTGGAGTCTAGAAATGAGGTGGATAAGAAAGGTGCAAAGGAGCCCTTGTGTCACTGTGAGAGGTTAGTAGTGGGGAATTTGAGTAGGAGTAGACTGACAAAAAATTGTAATGATATGATTAAGCATACCATGTTTATTTGCAGCTCACTAAGGACATAACCCTAGTTAGGGCAGTTAGGACTTTGGAGGTCGAGAATAATTTATAGGGTAATCTGAAAAGGGTCTCCGATTATATAAGGAAGTTATGTTTAGGGGGCCTTTCTAGGGCTTGTTTATTTGTGGCCTGTTCTTAATTCTTCCTACCTTTTTCTGTAGTTCTTATTGTTCACCTTTCAATATTTCCTGTTATTATATTTCCTTGGGGAAATGGTCCCTTGGATTTTGGAACAACCACTCTACCTTTTAAGGTAGGTAAGGTGTGTGTACAGCCCTCTCCAAACCCCACTTGTGGAATCTTACTTAGCTGTTGTTGTAAATCATGCTTCATCAAAACACCCAGATGCAACGAAGAAATATGATCTAATGATCTATAAAAGTAACAAAATACCAAAACCCAAGTGCGAGGAAATGATCTATAAGATGAGGAACTTATTTAAGATCATAACTACGACAAAAGTTGAAATTAAATTAGATACTTTTATATTTGTATGTTGGTCTTTGTGGTGAAAAGAAGACGTAAGGTCAAGATTAAACATACATGTTTTGAATAAACACTGGTTGGGGGAATAAAGGTAGCAAGATGAAAGACACCTGTAAGAGGCTAAACAAAATGCCAAACAAGTGGTGTTTGACTCTAAAGTGAAGGTTATTGAGGAGATGTACACGCATTTGGAGAACAAAGGGAGGATTCATATTTATAAACTAGCAAAAGCTATGGAGAGAAAGCTTCAATACTTAGGTCTTGTAAGTAGCAAGAGGAACAAGGCGTTGATTTTGGTTAAAGATGAGGACATCAAAGAGATGAGGTGGGTATTTTCTCAAGTTATTTAACATGTCTATGGAGAGGGACTTTGTCTTAGAGGGAGCAGGAGAGCATCATCATCCACGCAACGACAATCATTGTGGATGTATCAGCAATGGGGGAGTGGGGGGGNGACGATGGAGAGGGCTTAGGCAATAGGCTCAGATCATATCCCCACCGCGGTCACAAATATAGAGCAACAAGGTGTTCCAACTTCCAACCCATGGTACGCCGGGTGCTTGTTCACAAACAGTACTTCATCGGTTCACAAAAAACAGGGAATATTTATTTACTTATCATAGGAAAATAGCACTGTGATTTGCCTTCCTGATTCATAATGAACCTTGCAATTTTGCTGCAATTTAAGTTTGACAATCAAGCAAGCACACCTTAACAATTACAATTTACTGGAGTTAAATCTCACCTTCCACATCAGTTTCTTGTCTATAGCTCTTCTTATTAATTTCCCTCTTTGTCCCAAAATAAACGTCTCGCTTTCCTTTTTAGGTTTCCCCAAAATTAATTTATCATTCCTTTCGAAGTCCACATTAATTCTCTCTCCTTTGCATGAAACTTAACCACACAATTTCACCTTTTTTTAAACTTTGTGAAAAAGGAAACGAGAATTGCAAAGAGAACCGTCTTTAACATCATCCAAAACTTTGCGAAGAGAAACATTTTTAACATCATCCTTGAAATTGCAATAAAAATTGCAGAGATGTTCAAGGAGTAAAAGTTGATCATGGAGATGAAGCTCTATAGGAACAAAGACAAAACACAGAGTTCTGGTAACTACTGCGGCATTAAGTTGCTAAAAGATTATGTGTGAGAGTTAAGTCCAGGTTGTGGTGCGAGACGGAGGTGAGTGAGTGAGAACCAATTCAGTTCCATAAGACATGGGATGAGTAGCTGATGATTTGCTTAGCTCTTTGATTTTTGATGTTGTTGGGTAAATGTTAGTGCATTTGTGTTTTCCTTGTTTTCGTGCTCCTTTGAGTTACTACATTCCTCACACTTCATGTCTAATTTCAAAGCTATTCTTGAAACAATCTATCTACACTTTGGGTAGAGGTAAAGTCTTTGTGCATTTTTCTTCGAAATTGGATATATTGTGTATGTTTTGTTTTGCAATATCAATCACAAAATGAACAAAACAAAAGCAACTATCTCAACTCATAGCATGTCTTGTAGTGTTTTTCATCCATGTGGAGATAATGATGATGATTCTCATTAACCATAATTATGTTGGATGCCACCATAAGGCATCCACTTTAAACATTTCAAGTTAGCAACCATGTGTTTTGCCTAAATTTACACTGTTAATTTACATTGTTAATTAAGTTTAGACAATTCATTGGAGCTATAAATTTTATGCCACTGACCCCAACTAGTAGGAATTAAGGTTCTGATAATGGTGGTAATGAGAAAACCTTATATTTATTCCGAGAGAGAAAAACGAGGATCTATAGGCACGTACAAGCAAGACTTCTTGGCCTTCATATTTTCCAAGTCCAATCTTGTCATCCCTCTGCAAAAAGAAAAGGCACTTATGCATCAAAAAATTAAAGAAACAGCACTTGTACTAAAGAAACTATTGAAGTTGTGGCAATAGCCTCTGTAAGTCTGTAACTTTGAATCCAAAGAGACGTGAACATGAAATAAATAAATTGGCCCATAATTGTCTTAAAAGGCCAAATGAAAATCAACAAGGAAACAATAGTTCAAACTTCAAAATCATGACTTAATCTATGTAGCTATTTCAATAAAATTGTTAAGGAACCAACTCAACCAGAAGCTCAAGCTTGTGGTTGTGGCCCAGGAACAGTTATTTATATTCTAACAAGCCCCCTCACGTCCAGGCGTAGTCTTTTACGAGCCTTGCACGTGAAACTTTAATTTTTTTAAACTGGGTGGCGCTAAGTTTCGAACCCGTGATCTCTTAGTCAACGAGGCTCTGATACCATGTCAAAGGAACCAACTCAACCAGAAGCTCAAGCTTGTGGTTGTGGCCCAGGAACAGTTATTTATATTCTAACAAAAATATAATGTGAAATGACTGACCATTTTGTATTCAGCGTCAATTTCACTCTGACACTTAAGTTGAACATCTCCTGGAGCTCGACAGACCTGAGTATTTTTCACCAGTTCTTTATAAATTTCAAGCAAGCGAGTATATCTATTGCAACGGATTGCTCTGAGTAGCAACTTCTCAACGTCAATGCAGTTTTGGTCAAGGAAAAATTGTGCTTCCTTTCCAGTCACCGGATCAATGACAAATGTGGTATGGAGACACTTTATTTGAAGGTCTGGACCTGGTTCAATTTTTATATATGGGCAAGATCCCAGGTCACTGGAACTTTTCTCAAACTCCAGCCAATACAGGATTTTTAAGCCAGGAGTACGTAAACCAGTGAAATCAGTTTCTCCATCTTGATTCATTTGCACAGAGCTAGAGGTCCCTCCTTGCCCAACAGTACCATCAGATATGAGCTCAAATCGAATAGCATCTTTCCATCTTCCTTGCCTAAGTGTTTGAACTTGCCTTATAACAGTATCCATTACAAGTGCAATGCAAAGCTCGTGCATGATCGAATACAAAGTCATGAATGGATGCTCTGCATTGGCCATTCTCCTTTCCAAATCATCTCCAAGTGCATGTCGTCGTGATTCTTCGAGCTTTATCATCCCACTTCTCTCGCCAACAAGAAGATCCAGATACAATATCCTCCACATTGATAAGTGACCTCTGTAACCAAGAGTAACTAGAACCTTAAATTCACCATCCACACGAAGCAAAACAGTACCATCGGAAACCTTAACTTCGGTGATTTCCTTTGGAAGAGAAACCTCAAGGAGTTTGGACCTGACAAGTACATCCAGCTTCTTTAGAGCTGGTTTTTGTTGATCTTCATTTAGTGTGCTCTGCATGCTCATGTCTTCTATACATTTTGGCAACCGCAAGTACGATCCAGTAAGAAGAATTTCTGTGGCCGAAGGAACATCATAGATGGGAGCACGAGCTTGTTGTAGCCCTTCATGCATAAAAAACAATGAATCTGCAGCTTGAGTGAAACATGTATCATGACTCGATAATGTCGATGCGAGTTGTTGACAATACTGTATCAAGGGAACCTGTCCAATTTATACATATAAAACGAATTTTCATAAGAAATTCATCAGAATCCTAAATCCATGACCTCGGGATTTCACACACTTATGAAGCCAATGAAAACTTTTCAAATTTCAACCACACCAAATAAGATAAGAATTTTAAAGTTGTGTATTTATAACTTCAATTCTTGGACTTGAAGAGATTTATCTTCATTCTTGGACTTGCAGAGATTTATCTTCAAGTAGAAAAGTGGACTTAAAATGTACTCCCTCTTTCCATTAAAATTTCTCATCCTTTGTCTATTGAGATGTTCTACCACATATGTCCACTTATTATACTAGAAAATATTTATTCATTTCACGCTAAAAAAAACTTTGAATATGACTTGAATAAGGTAGAACTAAATGTAACCATCTCGTAGCCACTTCTGCACAAAGTTTATAGCAAATAACCTCCATGTACTGTACAACTAAGTGTTCTAAAATTTTAGTTGTTGACTTAATTCACCGAGTGCCACAAAGCCACAAAGACCTTGGCCTTTCCTGACAAGACATATTAATGGTGGATGGCAGACTAAGATGAGTGGCAAATATTCCATTGAAATGGCACGGCCTGTGTACTGCAACTTTCAAAGAATTTATGTGGTGACTGGAAAATTATGGTCTGGCCATAACGACATGGCTGCAATTTAATATTACTACGTATTACATAATGAAAAGAGGAAAGATACCAAATTTGTACAAATGAATGAAGGTAAAAGTAATCTATGTCACCTGCTAAAGCAAAGCCATCATGATTATGAATGCTTTAGAAGCATCTAGCTTTCTAGACATAAAAGAAACCCAAATATTAAAGCCCTACAACACGCTAAAACACAATGTTATGAAATACAGTCTTATAATGGAACTCTCTTATCTTTTCCCTCTCTCTAATTTCAGTTTCCTTCTAAATTTAGTTGTTCTAACTTTTTTTCCCATGCCTGCATCCAACAGATTGTTCATATAATTTTTCGCACATCCCATTTAAGTAATCTTTCTTGCACTGTTGTGTCTATCCAGAACAAATGAAATCCCTTTCAACCCATTGAAGTTTCTCCTTTCAGATTATCATGACACCTAGCTTGCACCGACTTTTTACAACCAAACATTCCTCATCAAATCTTTTTATTATTCAATACCCTCTATCTTCACTCAACCCATTATGTAAAATCCCCTACATTTTTATCATAATTTAAAATGCAACAGCTAAGGTTAAAATGAGGCTATTGGAAACACTCCTGCATGAACAACACAATAACTGTACATCAAAATGATCCAGTCTTTCGGGCTTCATCTCCTAGTTAACAGAACCGCACAAGATTTCGAAAGATGAAAGCTTCAAGCGATACAAGGGTTCAAACACTAACCTGCTGGCACCATTTGGCGAGGACATTGAGACGGAGCATGCGCTGCTGGGTCTTGACAAGGTACTGGAGAATCCCAATCTTCTTGTCGGAATCTGTGAGGACGGAGGACCTGGACTTCTCCACCAGCTCCTTGAGCGAGAGGTAGGACTCGTCCGCCGCGCGGCTAACCAGCGCGGAGAATTCCACCGTCTTCTGCCCTAATTCCGCCGCCGCCATTCTTGTGAACCCTTATGGTCCAAGAAACTCAATCCTTACTTCCCCGCCGCGCGATCCTGGTTGAGTAATGCAGGTTAGGGTGCCTAGATTCTGCAATGGAAGAGAAACCTCGCGAAAACGACCCCCAAGGTGAACTCTTGGTTTAGTGCCTTCAAAAATCTACCATCATCATGGATGAGGAGAAAGAATGAATTAGTCAAAGGAAAGCCAGAGGATGTCATGTAAATAGACTTTGAACTTCTAAATTTTTTCTATTCTATTCTAAGTTCTATCATATACTTAGAGTATGTTTTTTTTCATTTTCTTCTAGTGTTTTCAACTTCTTCTAACTAGTTTTTTTCAACAATAACTTAAAAAATATATTTACATACAATAATTATACAGTAACATTATATACTTTGTATCTAGACTTATACTACCCCCGTCCCACTCTTTTTGTCCAGTTTTGACTTTTGAAACTGTTCATCTAAACACTTTGACTCATCAAATTCTCTCAATGTGTAAGTCTAAAAATTGTCATGTGTGATCTTGTTTGATTTGTCTTAACATATAGATTATTAATATATAATTTTTATAATTTTTTAATATACAAATTACAAGATAAAATGGATTAAAGAAGTGCATTGGATGGTGTGCAAAAATGAAAGTGGACAAAAAGAGTGGGACGGAGGGAGCAATATAATACCTCAAACACGAACAAAGATAAATTGTTTTTTATATTTAAATTTAGTTTTCTTACATGTTTATGTGGGTGATCGTTTTAATTAAGTGATTTTTTTAATACTTTATTTTTTCAAATATTTTCAACTCCTTTTAGTTTTTTCCAATTCTTTCCATTTTCTTCTAATTCTTCCAATTTCTTTTAACTTCTTTTATTTTTTTCCAACATTCAACTTTAAATTTCAACCAAAAGGACCTAGTAGATTAATTTTATGAAAAGAGTCGTAACACATTGCTCAAAGCTTACTTTTAGTTTGATGGTGTAATTATTTATCAATCTCACTATTCTTAAACGAGTTTAGGATAAACAATTAATGTCTTAATCTAATTATCGAAGTATATGACACAAAGACTGGTCGAAAAGTTTAAACTTGAATTAATTGGTTATGGTCATTTGAAAATCTTTCATTATTAAGACTTCTTAACAATTCATGCATGATAAACTATTTTACCTTCAACTTGAATTAATTGGTTATGGTCATTTGAGCAATCCTTTTAAAAAAATATATAGTCGTATTTTGAATCTGTAAAGTTGTTCCCTGACGTTTAGATCGATGTTGGTTTTCCAGACTCAACAAATAACTCAACCAACTATTCACCAAAAAATTGTTCCTCACATCCGTCTCCATGGATAATTCTTTTTCACGTCCATTTTTTTCACATCCTTTTTCTATTTTTATTTTTTGAAATATAAATATTACTTCCTCCTTCCCATATTTCTCCTACACTTTTAAATTTGGCAGATAAATTTTTAAATTTTGACTACAAATTACAAAAAATATTAATTATAAAACAAGAAAGATTAATTTTGAAAGGCAATTTTGAAATACCATACTTTTATAAACTGAAAGGTGCTAGAAAAAGTTGGAAGTTAATTTTTCCAACTGAAATAAACATAACCTTAATAATTAATTAATTAATTAAACGTTACTAGTTAATAATATCCGTTTGCTAAATTATTTTTATATACTCCGCTGTCTCAAAATCGGTTGCACAGTTACTACTCCGATCACCTGATAACTTTTGTTTATTTTCATATTTTTATTGATCATTCGATAAAACAAAATATTTTTGTCAACACTTATTTTATAACACTTTTGATATAATTTTAAATATGTAGCTTGCATTTTTTACTCCCCCCGTCTATAAATAAAGTTCACGTTGCGCGTTACGATGTTTGATTGAAGTTATTTTCAAATCATTTTATATGAAAAATGGTATAAAATTAAAAAAATAAAAATTACATATTTAAAAACTACATGAAAAGATCTACAAAATTAGGAGTGACATGTCTATACTATTCTATCAAATTGGAACACAAAAATAGACCAACAAAGTAAATAAAGTTTGACTCTGTGAAGAATGAACGAAAAGTTTATTGTTGGACGAATGAAATATTTCTATATCAATTTATAAATGAATTAAATTTTAAAAGTACAGGGTTTTGCATGCTTTTCAACTTATGTGATCTAATTTGGGACAAAAGGCGAGGGGCGAGGGCAGTGAGATGGAGGGTTGGGATGAAGGTAAGGGGTAAAAGAGTTTGTGATTGTAAGAATTACTTTCTGATCTAACGAAATATCGTAGGTGTCTCAAATGAACTAATACCATATAATAATATGGAGCACCTAAAATGTTACATTTGCATCTGATAGTGGATCCTACATCTTAACCCCCTAGTCCCTCCACTCTGATCTATTTCCAATCAGTGAAAGGAGAGAGAGAGAGAGATGAGGTGAGGATTTGGAGATTGAGGGGGTAAAAGTCTTTTTTCGAGACCAACAAAGTATTGTAGGTGCCTCAAATGCACCACTGTCATATTATGACATCCGTGTTCAATATCGAAAAATCATTATCGATTATAATAAAACTAACTACAGAACCCTACTCCACGCTTAACTCTCTTCTCCCTTCAATCTCCTGCTTATTTAAGAGTGAATCACTATCTTCTATATATATGGGATTTTTTTACAATTTCTATATCACACTTAATGCACAATAATGTTTTATACGTTTTTTTAGATTTACGCCTTTTGCGCCTGTCCGCACATCTTTCTCGCTAGATCCATCGATCATCACCTGATCTTCACATTTCTCTCTCTTTTCATCAATCTTCTATTAATTGCTCCACGTAATCTACACATCACGCCATCTTTGTTTTTTAAAGAGCCAGTGTCTCGCACCATTGTTAACCATTGTGCATCACCATCGTCAATCTCTAGTTTTGAATTTCCTTGTTATGAGATATAAGAACATTGAACATCGTTGTCATTGTTCGTTTTCTTTTCGATGCAAAGACATTGAATACAATGGGCATTGTTCTTTTTCTTCACGATGCAAAGATAGTAAACATTGAGAGCATTAGCTTTTTCTTCAATGTGATGAAGGCAGATTGTGTTGGGTGGCGGGTGATGAGGGTTGTGATGGGGGGATGCCAACGATGCTTGACTCTTACAGAGGTAGAGTTATAATTTATGGTTAGACTCGCTATAAAATCATACTCTGTAAAAAGATATTTGTAGGTTCATCAGAAAACTGACTATGTTTTATTACTCCTTTCATTCGAAAAATATTCTCACTTTTTTTTTTGATCTGTTAAGATACTTTCTTTGCATATCCTTTTGTGACAAAGAAGCTTATCTAAAACATCAACTTTCATCCTGCCACTCTTAATATTTAGCTATCAAAATATCATTTTCATCTATACTATTCACTTAATTTAAAATTATTCATTCAAGTGAAAATATAATAGAAGTTAATGATTTGTTGATCTCTCATTAATATGAGTGTTTAGTGAAATCGAGAAGAAGTTCTTTAAATAGAAAGATAATATTTAGCTAAATTTTCCTTTCGTGTATTGAATAGAGATAAGGCATGCGAAGCAGGGGAGGACTTTGAGTTTGTACTCATCGTCTGATTTGATTGGGCTTGATATGACTTTATTAAGATTTGATATAATCTAGTCGATCTTGTTTGATGTAATATGATCTAATCTTATTGTTATCATATCTTATTTTATTTTTTTGTAATGCAGGTTTAAGATATATAATTTGTAATTTTTATTTGTATACTAATTTGTAAATAAGATAATTTTAAAAATAGATATAATTTTACAAGTAGTTTGAAGTGACATAAGATTTATAGGACAAAATATTTGCAAATCTAAAGTAGTTTGTAGACTCTGAGGACTCGAAATTGAGCTTACAAATTTCACTATTTCATATTCTATCTAAACGAGTAGTGATATAATCAAAAAAAATAATTTTAAAAAATATAATCTAACTATATATAATAAACAAGAAATTCATCTAGGGTCCAAAGCATTATATTTTTTTACTTCAATTTAAAGGCCTACTCAGAATCGATGGGATAGAAATCTGAGAGGAGACAAATTGAGTTATAATCAAGAATAAAGCATGCAATTAGTACTTGAATAGACCTATACTTAATATAGTTGTTTCTCATCGCATTTGAAGAGGATGTAAACTTGCAATTTAAGGTGTGTATGATGAGCAAACAAGATACGAGTTTTGATATCCCTGTATATCAAAATTTTTTTTCGGTGTTTGGCGAAGCTAAAAGATATATTGAATTCGATATCTCCAGATATCATAAATATTCAAATTAGAGGATTTCAATATCTTCATAATTCAGGAGGTATCGATATATGAGTTTGATATTTCTCTAAATCGTTGATCATTCTCCGACTACAATTAATGGTCATCCCCCTTACACTAATTGAATCATAATTTTAAATCTTTGAACAAAAATTATTTTTAGAAGTGTTGAAGTGGAGATCAAAAGGTTGTAAAGGGAATGAAAACTGCACAAATGAGTACATATATCACTATCAAAAGCCACGGATGGTTATAAGTGTGAACTCATTCAATGGATTCTCAAAATCCCAAATCACCTCCCTTTGTGCGTAGAGAAGTTGAACATGGATAAGGTGCTCGCGGTTGACGAAAGCGCCAACCCCTTCCGTCCGCCGCCGGCCGTGCGCCCCTTGCGGGCGGCGGACGTCAACACAGACTCATCGCACTCTATGATGATGAGCCGTAGCCCCTCTGAGTGTGCCTTCCAGCGCTTCCTTCAGGAGGCCTCCGTTTCCGTTGACTACAATTCTCCCGCCCCTGCCGGGTCTTCTGCCGCCGCCGCAGCTGCGGCTTCTCGCTGGATTCAGCCGCGTCAAATGGACGGCGTCGAGATCGCGGATCAGAATCTTAGAACTGATCGGAATATGAAATTCGGTCACCAGAGCTCCGTCCCGGAGCCGGCTACTGATAGCGCGGTGGCGGCGTCCCTGGGTGCCGGAGCTGCTCCTAATGTTCCCGTTGATTCCGAGGAGTATCAGGCTTTCCTCAAAACGCGCCTTTATCTCGCCTGCGCCGCCGTAGCGTTCTCACGTGTGAGCCCCAAAACCGATTTTTTGTCTGGTGCGCAAAATTTGCGCACTAGAATAACGCAATGGAGCACAAAATTTGTGAACTTCGCTTTTCCAGCTAAGATATTTGTCTATTACTCCAAATTTAGAATTTTGAGAATTCTAAGATTTCATCTTTCTCCATGAATCCGTTTCATAGCCGACGAAATAGTTTGAAGCTGGATCTAACTGTTTTTTCCGGGCTTCTGAACCCTTTCTTGATTTGCTTTCTGTTTATCTTATCTTTTAGGGAAATTCTGCTGAGCCAGAGAAGGATTCAGCTAAGGTGCTGCCGGAAAAAGGATTTGAGTCCACTATTTCAAATCCTGAATCCGTAGTTCATTCTAAAGGTTAGGGGTGCTTCTCTAGACGATGCTTGTATGAAGTATCTGAGTTGTCTCAAGAGCAACACATTGTTATTATTATTGTTGTTATTATTATTATTGAGTATTATTATCATCATTATTGTTTATTATTATTATTACGGAGTTCTATTATTTATTATCATCGTCACCACCACCATCACTATCAAGCTGAAACCACACCTCATTGTCTTTCTATTGTTTTTTATCCTGGTATTGTGTTTGGTCATGGAGGTGATTATTGAGTGTCTATATCCAAGTATGAAATTTTTTGCAGGCATCAAGACCCATGCAACTCTTTCAGCATTTCCTTTTGCATTGAAATCTCGGGTTTCTTTAATGATATCGTGCAATCAATAAAATATCTGGAGTACAATATTACAACTTCCTCTCTACTAAAGTTGGCCTTTTCATTTTGCACTTTCCTTCTTGAACTATTTCATTCAAGATTAGGAAGGTTCTTGGACATGCTGTTAATTTTTTCAACTTTCAAGAACTGATTTGACCTTGTTTGGAACATATCTTCTTTTATGTTCATTTTCTACCAAGTGGTTGAAATGTAAAATAATGTCAATACAAAAAGATAGACTTTATCTCTCGGTTCATTCCAGTCTTAACCTCATTGCCTTCCAGCTTTTTATTCATAATGTTTGTAATGACTGATAACAGCATCGTTGCATCAACTTTGAGAAATAGTATGTACTACTAGTATTAGTTAATACGTGTTACAAACATTTCCTGATGTCATTTCCATGTCCAAAGAGTGTGCCATAATTTGATTATATTGTACAAAACTTTCACCTTTTTACTATTAAAATGTAGGATCTCGGAATGGCTTACCCAATGGGCAAGAGAAGAATGTTGGGTGGCATGTTGGAACACCTACATTACCTGCAGTGCCTGTGAAATCTAGTGCTCGGGTACGGTCAACAAGTGGCTCAGAACAATCTGATGATGATGAAGCTGATGGAGAAGCAGAAACAACTCACCAAATGGATGCAACAGAAGTGAAACGTGCAAGGAGGTTAGAAATTATACTCCCCCCATCCCAAATGGATGCCCTTGTTACTATTTCGGCCTCTTTATAACTTTTGTTTGTTTCAAAGTTTTCATTGATCATTTGATAAAATAAAATATTCTTGTCACCTATTGTTAACAAAAACTTTTTATGTACTTTTGAATGGTGTAATTTATACTTTTTATTTCTATACCAGTTTCTAATTAAAAAGAATAAAATGATCTCAAAAGTGATGGGATTTTGCACGTTGTTTGGAAAGTGGCATTCATTGTGGGATGGAGAGAGTAATTGTTATGAGACAGACCTTTTACTCAATTTGTTTGTTGAGACAAGCAGCAACTCCACAAAAAAGAAATAAATAATAGTGTTATTTAAACATTCATTTTCATTCTAGAAGGAATGAGCAATAGGAAATGCCTTGTGATGATGTTCATTTTGAAATTTCATCTCACAATTCCTTTGTTCGAAGGTTACAACATGAAGGCGTCCGGCATAAAACTTTGTCATTATGATTTTTTTGTGCCCGAAATTATGGTGTTAACTAACTACAACAACAACAACAACAACCCAGTTAAATCCCACAAGAGTAGGGTCTGGGGAGGGTGTGTGTACGCAGACCTTGCCCTTACTCGAAAGTAGAGAGGCTGTTTCCAAAGAGACCCCCGGCTCAACGTCGAAAGTTGCATTGTTTGACTAACTGCTACTTCATTAATTAAAGAAGCGCAGATAGTTTAGAGATCCATTTTGATTTATTCCATCACACCCCAAAGCCAAAAATGGTGAAATTTTGGCTCCATCGGAGATAATGGAAGTTATGGTGTTAACTAACTTTATACTATAAATTGGCACTACATATTTCATGCGGGATGAAGGTTATGATAATCATATTATTGGTGCTTACACCATTTCATATTTTTTTGATGCACAATGCAGTTAATCTTTTATAAATAAATTGTAAACTTCTAATTCTGAATTTTGTTGTGAGTTTTCACATTAGAAAATGGTAAGCTATCTCTCTTGATTATTGAGTGCACAACTCACCTTGTCTAAACATGCATTAGGTGTGAGAAACTTGAATCGAATGCCCACCCCGTCATTCATCTTTAAATATAATTGTACTTTCAGTGGAAGAAAGTCTCTTCTTAGTCTAATCTTTTTTTAACCTTTATCCCAAATGGCTCTTACATTTTTGCATAGTGATCTAGGTTGTTTTTTTAATGGCTAAATGCAAGAATTAATGTTGTTATGGGTGTAGTAGTTGACATCAAGTGCTCTCCAATTTACGAATATTTTATGTTAACCAGAATGCTATCCAATAGAGAATCAGCTAGACGTTCTAGAAGAAGAAAACAGGTCCATCAGACAGAATTGGAGACACAGGTATTTTCTCTTTATTTGTACTTTTACCAGTTGATGTTCTTTGACTAGCCTGACCAAGTATTACCCATAATTTTCCCTAGGTTTCTCAATTGAGACTCGAAAACTCCTCTCTGTTGAAGCGTTTGGCTGACATAAGCCAAAAGCATAATGATGCAGCAGTTGATAATCGAATCTTGAAAGCAGATGTCGAGACACTAAGAGCAAAGGTAACAACAGCTTCATTTCATGCACCAATATTATCCAAGAAGAAAGTAAATAAACTGAAAAACAATATGTTCGATTATTTTTAGAGGTCACATGAACATATGAAATTACGAATATACTCCCTCTGTCCCATAAAATGTGTCTCTATTCACCAAGATACAACCTTTTTTATTGCAGTTGAGTACAAAAATTGTAAATCATAAAAATTACTCCAAACTATTGTATTCGAACATTCAAACACTCCCTATGTTCACAAAATACGTTTCAATCGCTTACTCAAACACCCACCCGATTCCATTTATGGACTCCTAGTGCTTTGTAGAACACTACTGCTTAAGTGCATAGAGAAGAGTAGGAGAGTTTTTTTAATGCAGTAACTTTATTTTCCATCATCTCCGATGGAGTAAAAAATTCACTATTTTTTGGCTTTGGGTTGTGATGAAATAAAGCAAAATGAATCCCTAAACTGTCCGAGCACCCTTCTTTAATTAATGAAGTTACAATTAGTCAAAAAATGCAAATTTCGACGCTGAGCCCGGGGTCTCTTTGGAAACAGCTTCTCTACTCTCAAGTAGGGGTAAGGTTTGAGGACACACACCCCTCCCTAGACCCTACTCTTGTGGGATTCAACAGGGTTGTTGTTGTTGTAATGCAGTAACTTTATAAATTCTGATGATATGAACATACTCTTCTTCTTCTTCTTCTTCTCCTTCTTCTTGCAGGTGAAGATGGCGGAGGAAACAGTTAAAAGGGTAACCGGGATCAATCCCTTGCTCCAAGCAATGTCCGAAATATCCATTATGAGCCTCCCCTCCTTCACCGATAGCACTTCAGATGTCTCGGCCGATGCTGCTACGACTGTACATATGCAAGGTGACGCCGATCATCACTACTACCAATCCCTCTCTCGCGTCCCCTCTCATGGCTCTCCCATCCCAAACGGCTTGCTGAACATCTCTCCTATCGAGCAGCGGCAGGGCCCCCCCACAATGCAGCGCGGAGATGCAGGAGGCCCGCGGGGAACTCATTGCAGGGGAACTAATGATGTGCAGAAATGAGGTCTGATAATTTAATTTTTTTTTTAAAAAGTGAACATGTTTTTGTTTTTACCCCTTTATCTCATAAGCTAATTGCAAACACTGTGAAATAATGTCTGTGTCTCAAGCATTTTATTGTCAAGTGAATGACATGATGAACTAAATCTTCGGATGTCCACACTTTTTTATTTTCCTGATAATTTTTTTTCACCACATTGAAAGTAAAGGCCTGCATCATGGTGGACCAGCAATCCCTTCGATTTGAAAGATGACGTCGATCTAGTATGAATGAAGATGTTGGCGATGCCCTCTACGGTGAAGGAGGATGAAGCAAAACGATGATGATGGCAGACCATATCAAGCTGATTGCAAAGATGGAAATGAGTTGAACATAGTGAAACATAGTTCAACGAATTCTTTAAGGACTCCCCTCTTCGAGTGACTTCGTACCTTTCATTTTAGTCAAGCGACTTCGTACCTCTTTCAAATGACTTGAACATAGTTCAACGAAATGAGTTTCACATAGTGAAAACGGTCAAGGGACTCTTGTTGGTCGTACCTCTTCGAATGAGTTTCACTATGTTACACTCATTTGAAACGAAATGAGTTGAACTATGCTCAACGAAATGAGTTTCATATAGTGAAACGAATCTCTGTTCTCTATGACTTGAGATGGACAAAGGATCGACGAAAGACGTGGTGATGATGGCCAGCAATCCCTCTGACTTGGAGGGGAGGAGAGGAATTTGGGCTTAAACTTTTATGTTTCCTCCCCTCCATTTTTTAAAGTATACAAAGGAAGGGGTTCATTTTCCTTCCCCTCCCCTTCTCTTCCCTCCCACCCAACCAAGCATATCTTTCCTTTCTAGGGAGTGAAAGAATGACATTGGAAAATTGATGACAAACCATAGCATTTTAGGGTACTTACAATTTTCGTTTATAAAATTGATGACTCTTACTCTCTTTTTAAATACTTCACCATAGCACCCCTATTCCCTCGAACCTCTGGCAGTATACGGCCGAGGGAGGAGCAGAAAGTTGGGTGAAAGACTTATGAAGGAGTTAGAAATGGTTAGAACCATCAATTTTATGAAGAAGATAAAAATGGTAAGAACCATCAAAGTTGGGTGAAGGGCTTATGAAGTAATTGAGTACTATAAGTGTTTGGGTATTTTTTTTTAAGTCAAAAGAATCGAAAGTAATTTATATCATATTTTATATGAAAAGATTTTTGGGAAAATGTCAAACACCTACTTTAGTTTAAAAGTTTTTTTAAAATTGCAAATTACAAATTGTAGCATACTAGTGCTTAAATTTGTATGAAGAAAAATAATTTGTCCACGTAAACATCTTGAACACAATGGGAGGACGCACCCATGTTCGATCCAACACTTTACTCATTTTCTTTTGACTTTTGAGTTTGGGTTATCCTTAAATTAAGAGAGAATTTTTCTATCTTGTTTATAAGTCAAATATTCTTTTGTGATAAATAAATTATTTGTAAATATTTATAAATGATGAAAGATAGTTTTATAAATAATCTGGTCAAAACAGAGAAACAAAAAAGACTAGTTTAAAAATAAATAGATATGATCTACTTATTTTTTCTGGCTTATAAACAACTTATAAGTTAGTTTATAAGTATACAGAAACATGTCAATAGCAGATTTATAAACATTTTTGACTAGTGAATAAACAAAGAGGAACACCCACATGCTAAGTAGAAATTCGAGAGATGAAATAGTACAAAGCTACATCTTCTAAGATTCTTAGGATGTGGCTTAGAATCTTAGAATGTCTCTAACTTTAATTATAATCATATCAACAAAAAGCTTCAGATCAGATAAAGATTCTAAACAAATCATAATAAGTTTAGATCTGAATAGATCAAACACACTTTAAATCCATGTGCTTGTGAAAAGTCCAATCCAGAAATTATTTAAAGCATATTATTTATAACTAAAAAAAACTTGAATGTTAGAAGAAACAAAAAACCATGAAGAAACTAAAAAAAATTATAAGGAATTTCAAAAATTCATTTAAGTGTATTTTTCATATTATTGTTTTTAAAAATGTTGTTGTTACTATTATAATAGTAATAATAATAATAAGAATAATAATAATTCCCTGTGGTTTCTAAATAGAGCACACATGCCCCCCTACCTATTTTTAAAGCAAAAATGACATTTATGCCCTTTGTTTTTCCCGATCTTGAATTTTTCCAATTTCAATTTTATTTATTATACAAATATATAAAATAAAATATATGCTTCCCATCTCAAATTAGAATTTTTCATAATGTACTTTTGAAAACAAAAGATTTTTTGGGGAGTGTTACAAAAAAATGAAAAATAAAATATTATGTACAAAGTAAAAAGTAATAATAGTTAAAAAAAAGTAACGTAAAGAAATAAAAATATAAAAAATATTTTTATTTCTTTGAAAAAGTGTATTTTATTTCATTTTTGTAACATTTTCTTAAAAAAAATTATTTTTTTGAAAATTAAATAAATAAAAAATTTTAATTTAAGAAAGAGGGCGTATATTTTATTTTATTTATTTGCATAACAAAAAATGTAAAGAAAAGAGTGAAATTTGAAGATAGAGAAAAACCAAGAGCAAAAATGTCATTTCATGTGTAAAATAGGCAAGATGGGCTATTTGTGCACTACTTCAGATAACTTTTTTTGAAAGTAAAGGGAGTTTTGACAATTCAAAAGCGCACTCATGCTATTATCTCCAAACTTCTACTCCGTATTAAATAGAGTTCTTGTCAGAGAAGATGAAGCTCATCTACTCGGGTAGGTAGAAGAAGTACGACTACTTAGAATTGGGTGGTTGGTTTGCGCTTGGTCGGGCAAACATCATGCACAATATACAAAAATCGCCGGCACTTCACAAAATTGCAGTGATTCTCTCCAAAAGAAAGCTAAATGGGCGCAGAAATGGCAAGAGTGAAGTTGGGAAGCTGCGGCCTAGAGGTACTTTTCTTTATTTACTTTATTCTAAGGTCTGGCAAATGTAATTAAAGAAAATCAGATGAAATGTTTTTTCTTAAAGATATAGTAATTTTTTTTGCTTGCTTGTTTGAAAATTGTTTTCCGTGTTAAGGGCAGACAATCTTTCATTGTTCTTGATACTTTGGGGAAAATCCATTTTCTGACTATTTTTCAGTCCATTCCTTGTTCTTACTACCATCATGAAAATATTTTATAATAGGGAGAGGTTCTAGTGACACCGGAGTAGGGTGACACACCGGTGCCACTGTTGTTTTGGTGTACTTCCTGTCATTTTGGGGTACTTCCCTTTGCAAAAATGATGGTTCCTACCTCCCCTAACCACCCCCGAAACCCCCTACCCCAGTCCCACCCCTATCCCGCACCCTAGCCCCCTTCCAAATGTGTGGCTATTATGCAATAGCCACACATTTGGAGGGGGGCTTAGGGGGCTGGGATGTGGGACACGAGTGGTGTTGGGGTAGGGGTTCAGGGGGGAGATTAGGGGAGGTAAAAACCATCAATTTTGCAAACGAAGCACGAAGTACTCCAAAATGGGCGAGTGTCATCCGTTGACACTGAATTACAGTGTCAACGGAACCCCACCGCTTATAATAAGAATCTAATACGGAGTAATTTTTTTTGTATCAATATCGAATACTATCATTTTTATTTAATTTGTGGTCGAAGTTTGCCAATTTCGACAAAAAAGTCAAAAACATACAAATTCTTAGGGACAGTGGCAGTACATTTTTTGGACATATAGTTACATATAGTTAATTAATCAACATTAGTAATGATGGATATTAATCGAGCTGAAAATAAGAGTGAATCTAGATCCTTAGAATATATGTTAAGAGAGACGAAGTTGTATATTTCCCTTCAAGTTTTGCAATGTGCAGGTTTCGAGATTGGGGTTCGGGTGTATGGGGTTAACCGGGATGTATAACAATCCGGTGGGAGAGGAAGAAGGGATAGCCATAATCAAAGAGGCTTTCGGCAACGGAATCACATTTTTCGATACTGCAGATGTTTATGGAGCTAATCATTCCAATGAGTATATGGTGGGAAAGGTAATAATAACAAACAAAAAAAGGGTGAGAAATGCTTTCTCCCAATGCTAAATTGATGGGTGCATATTTAGGTACTATGTTGGCCCAAACAACTTATGTGTTTTCATTGTGTTAGTTATAACTAAAAGCTTGAAAAATAAGCTTTTCAAAAAGCTCTAAACAGTTGCAAGCTGCTGATAAAAAAACTTTTTGGGACGAAATATCTCTTTACCAAAGGCTTATAATGGCTATCCTATAGTCCAATTATTTTTTCTTTTCCAAAAAAAATCTCCTTTCCAAACATCCTCAGTATATATGGGTGTGGTTACTTTGTAATTCTGTATTGTAGACTATGTAGAAGTGTCATTGCAGTAACATGAAAGGAAAATTAGTGCCTGGAATTCCTGGAAAGCTACTCTCCCATTCTTAAATACGGGCAACTGTCTATTATGACTTTCTATATGCATTAATGAATGTGGACAAATACTATGTCCACGTACCACGTTCATATGGTTCTTAATGTAACTATAAAGTCTTAATGGACAAGTATTTAAGAATGGAGGAGTATCCCGTTAATGAGCAACAATGAGTATACTTAACATAGCAATTTTGCACTATTTCACCTTTTGGGTATTAGAATCTGCATATGATAAAAGGAAAAAACCCCCCAATGAAGAATACAACAAAGCTGAGTATAATCTCACCTCTATTGGTGCATGAAGGGTCAAGAAGTATACAACTTACCCGTAAACAAACAAAGATGTTCTTTCAGTTAGTACATTGACACCAAAAATAATGCCGGTATTTTGGGGCACCTAAGGTGTTTCGTTGGTAGAATTGATGATTTCTTCTCCTATGCTAACCCCCACCCTACCCCAGCCCCTCCTTCCCCTAGCAGTATTATACTGTCAGTGGAGGAAGGGGAGGGGGTGGGGGGGTGGGGGGGTGGGGGGAGGGAGAGTTGTGTGATCAAAGACCTCAAAATTTTCCAAGTGAGCCCGATTAGATACTTCTACGTAGTTCTTGATGTAGTATTTGTGAATTGCACATCGTTCTTCTTGGGGACTCGAGTTTGTGATCCCAAAGATTTTATCTGTGCAAATATCAAGTGAATATCCTATCTACTTGAGTGTTGAGCTTTCTCCTCTTATCAAGTACATAATGGAGTTAAGCCTCAATGGTTAGGATTATATTTTCATGATGTCACTTAATCACATTTGCTTCAAGTAATTTTTCAAAAACACTAAACATACTTCATTCCTGTATACTCGTATTCTATTTCTCCAAAAAACTATTATACCTTCCCCATGTACCTGTGAAAGCGGGATATCTGTTCACTATTTTGGAACTGTGATTGAATGGCTCTGTCTTTGTTTGCTCGCACGCTGATCATCTTAGGATGAAAATTAATGATTCCAAAGATTTTATCAGTGCGTATAACAAATGAAATAACCTATCTGCTTAAGCCATCTCCTCTCATCAAGTCCATGGAGATAGCTTCAATGTTATAGGATTACATGATTAAATTCAGTCAATGTTTTGTATGATGTAGTGATATGTATGTTATTTGATTCCTAAACCTACTTGTCCCAAAAATATGAGTTTTCTTATTCTTCCATTCCACAAGGGGGGGGGGGGTTGGTCTTTCCTTAGTGTGTGTCTCATGATGAACAGTACTAGTTATTTGCCTTGGCAGTGAAATATTATCTGAATAAATCCCCCTTCTTATTTAAGAATGGAGGAGTATCCCGTTAATGAGCGACAACAAGTACACTTAACATGGCAATTTTTGCACTGCTTCACCTTTTGGGTATTAGAATCCGCATATGATAAAAGGAAGAAAAAAAAGTGAATGAAGACCACAGCAAAGCTGAGAAAAATATCACATGCATTGGTGTCTGAAGGGTCATGAAGTACACAACTTACCCGTAAACAAGCAAAAGATGTTCTTTCAGTTAGATTCTTGTTAGATTAAATCCATCATTTACCTGTAGGCTAAAACATACTCCCTCCGTTCTTAATTAAATGACTATTATGACTTTCTAGAAACATAAAGAACCAAATGATTGTAGACATAGTATAATGTTGTCTACATTCATTCAAAATCTAACGTATCTAAATGTCTTAATAGACAGTTATTTAAGAATGGAAGTAGTAGTCAATAATGGCTATTTTTTGCCCATTGCCAAGAGACGCAAGAACTCACCTACGAAGTATTATAAATGAAAAAAAACTAAGAGTTTGCACCGTGATATTATGATACTATATAGTGGCATCCCGCTGTATTTTTTGGTACTATATATTGGCACTGTACTCCTATTTTGGGGATAAAAACATAGAGCTCCTATTTTGGTACTTCATGTTTTACTCCTAGTTTAGTCCTTTTCCCAACAAACTGAAGTATCTTGTATCTGTTTGTATGTATATGTTATATGGATTATTATTATTATTATTATTATTATTATTATTATTATTATTATTATTATTATTATTATTATTATGGTGCAGGCACTAAAGCATCTGCCTAGGGAAAAGGTACAGCTAGCCACCAAGTTTGGCATATACAAATTTGAACCTACTCAGGTTGTGGTGAGAGGCACACCTGAATATGTTCGCTCCTGCTGCGAAGCCAGCCTACGCCGGCTTCAGGTGGACTACATTGATCTTTATTACATTCATCGTATCGACACAACAGTGCCCATCGAGGAAACTGTAAGTGGTTTCTCTATTTCTTCCACTGGGAAAAATCTCACTTTTAGTCCATTAAGTGTTTGACATTATGTAATACGTAGTACTTAGCACAAGCACACAACACAAACACTCTTATTACTTACACTATGTTCGGTTCAAAGAATTTGAAAGGGAAAAGAAAACATAGTGAGGGGGATGGTGATTTCTCGTGTTTGGTTAGAGAAGAAAAGAAAAGAAAAGTGGAAGGAAAAAAAAATAGTTTTTTTGCGCCATTTACCCCCGAACTCTTCAAAAATTACATGATTTCCTTACTGAACTTCAAAAATTACACCAATGGTCCTTGGACTTTTAAAAACGTTGCATCAATGGTCCCTCTGTGCCAGATTTGGGAGCGCGTTAGTCACACGCTCATCAATATGCCTGTTGGAGCTTGATGTGGATGCCATGGATCACACGCTCATCACAACCCATAATTTTTCCTTATTTTTTCCCGTCCTAGAACAGATGGAAGAAATGAAGAAATTAGTTGAGGAAGGAAAAATAAAGTACATTGGGTTATCTGAAGCTCACCCGGACACAATAAGGAGGGCGCATGCAGTTCATCCCATCACTGCTGTGCAAATGGAGTATTCCCTGTGGACACGAGACATCGAGGACGAGATTGTGCCTCTCTGCAGGTTGGTTTTTGTCCTGATTTTCAACCGTCTCTTCTTCTTCTTCTTCTTCTTCAAGTCTCATAGGTTTTAAGCTTGTCTTTTACCATACTTTTAATTTACAGGGAACTTGGAATCGGGGTTGTGCCATATGGGCCTATTGGCCGCGGGCTTTTTGGTGGAAAGGCAGTTATTGAGAGTTTACATTCTAACAGCTCTTTGGTATGAAAAAAAATCAACTTATAACTCTTCTTATTGTTATATGCGTGTCGTTTGGTTCTTTCCTAGACTCTGTTTTTTGTGAGATTTTACTGGGCTTGTGGGCTCTATTGTTTGGTTCTACCAGGGGAAACATCCGAGGTTTACTGGAGAGAACTTTGAGAAAAACAAGAGCATATACTTCCGTTTAGAAGAACTGTCCAAGAAACACGGATGCTCGCCCGCTCAGCTTGCTCTTGCCTGGATTCTTCATCAGGGGGATGAGTTTGTACCCATTCCTGGTAACTCATTCTTTTTACGCCCGATTTTTTTTTTAAAACAACCTTTTTTGCATCGGCCATTGCTAGGGTAAGCCAACATTTTGACCCCATGCTTTGCACAGACAATAACTGTCTGGGCAACATATATAGTTTTTCTGCGTGTTTGTGTAAAGCATGGTGTCAAGCACGGGGTCAAACAAGGTTATAGATTTTGGGTACATGATGAAGCTACATTGTGGATGAATATATGCAGGAACGACTAAGATAAAAAACCTTCACGACAACATTGGATCTGTGAAGATAAAGTTGTCGGAAGAAGACGCGAAAGCGGTTTCTGATGCGGTGCCCATAAGTGAAGTGGTGGGTCCGAGGGTCGGCGAGGCTCTGTACAAGTGTTCCTACAAGTATGCACTCACTCCACCATTGAAGCAGTGATGGTTATGATATATAACTTGATAAGTGTGTGCCATTGAACAAGGTGTTTGCCCCCAACTTATTATTTGCCCACTTCCCAAAGGCCAAGGGCAATTTGGACACTTCAAACCATAAGTGTGTGCCATTGAACAAGGTGTTTGCCCCCAACTTACCCTTTTGGAGCTTACGTAACAAACTACGCGAGCCTCCCAACGAAGCCAACATAAATCCCTTCCGAATATAATTGTTTGCTATACAGACTTTAATGTAATGTGATCATGAAGTATGTTCGGTTTGACTGTAAGAATATACTCTGTTTTTGGGGCTCAACATTTTTAATTTTTAAACATATATTATATATTTTTAATAAGAAATTTAAAAATTAATTTTTTAAAGTAGCTATAACGATACTTAATTATAATATTATAACTTTGTTATGTGTATTACTATAATATCAATTTTGGTTTCAAAGATAAAAATTGATATAAAATACTACGTAATTTGTTGGGACCAAAATCTATTTTTTCGTCTCATCCAGGATCATCGTATTCTCGAGACCAGTCTTTTACTTTGTTTCTTGTACTCTTTTTGTTTCTTCTTATTTTAGTTTTCATGGTTTTCAATGTGACATTTTGATAGTTAATATTTTTATTTCCCAGAAAACTAGATTTGAAACCAAAAATTGGAGATGTGGTTTCAGTTTTTTTTTGGGAAAAATAGGTGTTTCCACTTTCGACTCTCAATTCCATTCTATTTTTTTTTGTTTAAGTGTATTTATGATAGAGTCAAGACACTTGGGCCGAATCATATGAAAAGTTTGAGTACAATCGATTACTTAGTTCAATTTTAGAGCATATATATCCATTATTTTTTTCTTCCCACTTTTTTGATGTGGAATATTCTTTAACTATTTAAAATTTAATAGAAAATTAAATTTAGAATAAAATTATATTTTATGTTTAATCTTATTTTCTATGGAATATTTTATTTTATTTTCTACGAAATACTACCTACATCCAATAATATTTGTCTACTTTTAACTTTTTCACTTAATTATTTTCAATCTTTGATCTATAATTAAAAAAAATATATTGCATATTAATTAGATAAAATAATATTTTAAAAATATTTTATATAATAAATTTAATAAAATTATTTTCATATCAATATCAGATATCATTTTTTTAAAATTTGGAATCAAAACTTACTAATTTTAACTAAAAAAAGTCAAAACTAAATAAGTAAATTGGAGTAGGAGGTACGTAGTATATGGAGTAGATCGTAACTCGTTACCAAAATCAAAACGGCATGTGGTTCCGGTTTAACGAACATGGAACTCCCGTATTCTGAAACGGTCTGTTGTTCCGGTTTAACGAACAAGAAACCCCGGTTCATGATTTGGAACTGTACACCGGACAACCCAATTCCGACGTCGGAGACGCCACGCGCTAAAGCTTTTAAGAAATGGAGTCCGTCCGTCATAAGATTGCAAAAGTGCCAAGTTCATTCCGGCAAGGCAAGAATCCGATTCCAGGCGAAGACGAAGAAGAAGGAAGAAGAAGAAGAAGAAGAAAAGGCAGAAATGGTGGCCAGGAAGTTCTGTGTCCGCCACAATGAATCTACCTTCGACGTCGACTACGACACCGAAGACGGCTTCGAAGTCCTTTCTATTGCCTTCTCTGCTCAAATCCTCCCTCCGATTCATCTTCCACAGACCCTTCTTTTACCTTTTCTCGTCCTATTTCCAGGTCCTCAAGTTCCAGATCTTCTCTCTTACCTCCGTTCCGCCCGATCAACAAAAGGTATCCCTCCCCCCTCCTCTCACTCACATCTGTGTATGGTGAATTGATAGAGCTCGAAATTCGTATGCATTTTGATGTGTTGCTCTCAACCACAGATATTGGAAGCAGATGGTGGTCAAGTTGTACAGGAAGAAGCTGATTTGGCTTCTATTTCAGAAAAGCTTCAATTGGTGACAATTGATGACGGAGAAGAGGAAATGGAGAAGAAAGAGGAGACTGAGCCTGATTTTGGGATGTCAGATGAACAATTGGCTCGGATCTTGCAGGTTTAATTTTTTTTTGTGTGTGCAAGTATCAGTATAGCTTGACCAAATGGTTTCACGTGTACTCTATCTTTTGTCATTCAGCTTCTGATACTAATCATAGATAAGCATTTTCTAGGAGGAAGAAGATGCACTTATGAGGCAGCAGGCTGTTGCAAGTGAAAGTAGTGCAGAATTTGAGAAAAAGATACTTCCTTATATTGATCAAGTTCTACTGGTAAACCCTGCACCTTTTCCCTTTTTAATCATCTTGGTTTAATTGGACACCGAGTTTAAGAGTGAATAAATAGTATTATTCTTGATTTTTTAATTTTGCCCCAAATTTCTAGTTGAATTGGTAATATGTGTGTTATGTATGAGCACTATTGAGCAGCATTGGCATTTCATAGAAAAAAGCTTCCAAAAAAGAAAACAAAAAGGTTATTTTGCTATGGACTAAAAATGAAAGTGAGAAGATTAAAGGGGACACAAGGAGCATTTTATTGTTCATCATTGTTTTCATGGATGGTAAATTCGGCTGTTGGGATTCAATTGGGTTGTTGTTGTTTGTTTTCATGGATGGTAAAATTGAAAAAGTCATCATATATCATTTGTTTTCTTGGGAGTATTACATATATATTTTTTAAAATAATGCTTCGTATATGAATTGGGATGAGAGTATTATTTATTCTGCCAGATTTTCAGCGCAGAGTTGTCAGAAGTATAGCTTCATGTCTAAGAAGTTGTTTTGCATAATGGTCTCAAACAATTAATATTTCAACATATAAATGGGGTTGTACTTCCCTTGAAAAGTGGTCAAATAGAACCTTAATTCATTTTTTCATCTCACCTTATTTGATTCACTTCCCATGGAAAGTAAGAGTTTTACGCTAACTTTGACGACATTCTCCTAAGCTCAAAATGTGTTTGTTACAATAAACACTCTCTACAGATTAGAAAGACACGATCCTTAATTTTCCATCTGAAGAACTGACATGATTTATTCTTTTTAACATGATATTGTTTCAGTACGAGGACCCACGGAAGCAGGAGGCTGCTCGTAAGACCGTGCCTATTGACAATCTTGAGGAGAAAGCATTAATTTCATTGGCCAGGGTTAGATTATTAATCTGAATTTTTATGTCTAATTTGTGTACATGAAGCTAGGCAAAAAGGGCACATTTGATAATGACTGTGCCAGGTTGGTAAGGCATTTAGATGTATGGTGTTAGCTGTAGGGGTGAGCAAATTAACCGGACCGACCGTTAAACCGAAAACCGAAAGCCGAAGTAACCGCTAAATCGGTTTCGGTTTCGGTTTCGGTTTTCCATGACAAAAAGTTCGGTTATTTCGGGTACTTCGGTTTTGTGTCGGTTTTGATTATCGGTTTTTTCGGTTAACCGAATAACCGATATATGTGTTTTGTTTGGGTAAATCGAAGTCTACTACTTTGTAAAGCCCAATAGCATGTCAGCCCACTTCATTATCCAAAACTGGGAATTGTGTGATCAGCCCACTTCATTATCCCTAGGGAAACCCTCGGCTTTACGGATCCAGAAGATCTGCCCTGATGGTCGCCATCGTCTGCATCCACGCTGCATTTCGGGAATCAGAAGATCTCTTTCTCGATGAGCACGAGACCCCCGTCAGTCCGTCACGTGGTTCCACTCCTTCTTGAAGGCCGACNCCCAGCGTTGCCCCTCGGCCTCGGACTTGAGCGGCGAGTCCGTGATCTGGAAATCACGGTGGCGTTGGTAGCAATTTTTCAGCCGTTCATATCAAAATGAGGAAATTTACAATTTTGCCTGGAGGGGAATTACTCATTTAGTGGTTGAGAAAACAATTTATTTCATTGTTTTAGAACAATAATTGGATTCTGCTGATATTGGAAGTCCCAGTGCTTCTCGTGATGGTTCCGGCCATGGTACATGTTTAACTATTTTTTTATTTTTTGTATGGTTGCTATGGAATTCGGTTTTTAACAACCGACCGAAACCATTCGGTCTATTCGGTTTCGGTTTTCTCGGTTATCCAAATACACCGGTTCGGTTTCGGTCGGTTTTTTTGCATCTGAAAAAATTTCGGTTAGTTCGGTTTTGAGCCGAAACCGACCGAACCGACCCGATGCTCACCCCTAGTTAGCTGGATGTTAAAATGAACTTAGTTTGGAATTAAGGAAACAGAGTTCCGGTTTTAACAGTCACAACTTTGTTCATTTATGATAAAACATTGTCAAAGTAACAAAAATGAGCAGCTATGTAAGATCCAGTGTGTTTATATACATTTCTTGGAGAACTATATATACAAAACGACAAAGAAGTGCACTATATAGAGAAAGAAATAAACAATTTATATTTATTAAACCAAACATAAACCCAACAAGTACTAGTCTTGCAGAATAAGACATACTGCAAGTAACCTTTGGCTGAGGTCATTTCCTCACCACCTTTCTCCCCGTCCACCTTAGGTTTGGATTCTACAATGCATCAAATGTCTCCTTGGGCCCTCAGTGGTAGTCCTTCATAGCTTAAAGTGGATAGAAATGGAACGAATGGCATATTAAGTTGAGGATCTCTTTTTTAGAGAAAGCAATAAAGTGACATATTATTTAGGGAAAGCAGTAAAGGAGTTGTAGAGTAATTCTTTGGTTACATTTCTTCCTAGAGTAGACTTTCAAATATTTACTATAGAATTATTATCATTGTTTTATTGCATGTTAAATCAAATGTACTCTAGATCTCATATATTATTTTCCATCATCAGTAACTTGGACTCCTAGGTGGAGGAGTGTGTTTGTTGTCTGAACTATTTCATAGATTTCATAAATCTAAGCTTTTTCGTTCCTTTCTATTGTGTTGGTGTATGCTGAGCTTAAAGTGCAGTTCATTATATGAGGTATAATGGATGATTTTACGATCGGCCTGTTATGTACAAACAAAACTTGTTGGGGGTTATAATATCTTTATGGTATATGTTCTAGGAGGGAAACTTTGAACCAACAAAAGATGAACAAGAGCATGCCTTCCTGCTGCAGCTTCTATTCTGGTTCAAACAATCATTCAAGTATGAATCTTCTCTGCATCATTGCTTTTACATGCAATAATATGTCACATCATTGAACTCAACTGAATGTCTGTGTCCTTACCGAATTGAGCTTTCTTCAGTCAGTTGTTTAACTTGAGACCCAATATCATTAGACTTATTGCTCAAATAACGTCTAAGCCTCTGGCCAAATGTTCTCTTTGGTCCTAAATCCTTTGCATCAAACAAATCAGGTCTAAACTATAGGAATGGGCTACAGAAATGGTTGAAATGAATTAGAAATTTAAATATTATGCATACAATTGACTCTGGATGAAAGTATGTTTGATTTTATATGCTCTCTAGCCCCTCCGTCCCAAAATAAACTTCATGTTTTGATTTCAAAAAATTTAAAAAAAAGTGTTGAAATGTAAATTGTGTGTGATTGACATTTTTTGAGGAGAGAGAAAACTTGTGAGCCACATCTTTCATTCCTTGAGAGGAAACAAGAAAAGTGTGAAGTCTATTTTGGGACGAACAGAAAAGGAAAATGTGAAGTTCATTTTGGGATGAAGTATTTTATTAAAGAGTAAATTCTATAATTGATCCTTTATAACAGGGGGGTTTCCCTATTTAGTCCTCTATTATCAAATATTACCCAAGTGGTCCTTCTTTTATGGGTACCTTTCCACAAATAGTCCTATTTTTGATCTTCTATCATGTTGGTGTTAATTTGAGGGCTAAAAGTGTAATTTCACAATGATAATATATCTTTTTTGTCATACACAATTCCAAAGGCTGTTCCGTTTGCGTCGTTTGTGAATTACAGTCGCTTTTTAAGACAACTATAGTCTACAAATGTGATCTTTCGTCAGAATCCTAGCCCACAATCATAGTCATTATTTTGTGTTATCCGCTTAACCAATATCAGAACACGTCACTAAACATAATGTTGACGTCAAATTATACTTTTAGCCTTTAAATTAACACCAACACGGCAGAAGATCAAAAAAATACCATTTATGGAAAGATACCCTTAAAAAAAGGACTACGGAAGTAATATTTGATAATAGAGGACTAAATATGGAAACCCCACTGTTATAAAGGACCAATTATGGAATTTACTCTATATTAAAAGTCCGAAAAGCTCCTAAACATTTAATGGACTCTAATGTTAGACCTTTTGACATCCAGAAAAGACTAATTATATGACTTTTTTGTTTAAATATAATATACTTCCTCCGTCCTAAAATAATCACAATGATCAAAATTTTACCGTTTTCACACACTTTCATTTGACTCTCTTTTGTGATCTAGCTCTGCTTTATGTGTCTTCTGTGAGCTTGTGCTTTGTTACTTGAGTCGGGGGTCTCTTGGAAACAGACTCCCTACTTTCGAGTAAGGGTAAGGTCTGCTTACACACACCCTCCCTAGACTCTACTCTTGTGAGATTCAACTAGGTTGTTGTTGTTGTACTAAAACATAATCGAAGATATTAATGCTTTAAGTTGTGCATTGTCAAGTATTAAAATTCTAATGTAGTGATTGTTTTGGAACAAAGGAAGTATAAGGTCAACCATATTTTCACCAAAAGTCAATTTTATGCATAATATAAAACAAGTTGTGCATTGTTTTAGAACTTATTTTCTGTTACTTAGTTGTAAGGTTTAGACTTGATCTGTATAAGTGTGTAGTAAACCTCACCTTTTGAAGTTCCTTTCCAGGTGAATCAAGCCTGATTTAACAATAAGATTAACACTCATTTTTTATGACTTTATCTATCATTTCAGGTGGGTAAATGCACCTCCTTGTGATAGGTGTGGTAATGAAACTAGAAATGAGAGCATGGGAACGCCCTATCCTTCAGAACTGCAATATGGTGCTTCAAGAGTTGAACTTTACCGGTCTGTTTCTCAAGATCCTGCTGATATGTACTTGGTCGAATGTAGTTAATGACTTCCATTCAATTTCTTTTATCACTGTGACTTTATTGTGCATGCGCATGTCTCTCTCTCTCTCTCTCTATATATATATATATATATATATATATATATATATATATGCAAATGACATTTATTGATTTCCCCATTTCCACTTTTTGATATAAATTTTGTGCTTTTTGTCTAATGGGCAGTTTGCATAGCTTTAGGACATTAAGATTGTTAGAGTAAGGAATAAGGATAAGACATCTTACGTGTTACTTGACTTTAAGAATTTAAGAATAGATTGTCATGCGTTATACGCACATTAAACAAACAAGAAACACGAGATGGAGATGTGCATACATTCCCTGAACCATGGTCTCTAAACCATGTAACACTATATTGTGCTATAAATTAATACGGAGTATTATTCAACAAACATAGAACTCTGGAATAGAATAGTACTTCATCATTCTGGCCATTTTCAATTTACTTGTAGAACTGTCATGTCAGCCTCCCCCCCCCCTCCCCCAAAAAAAAAATAAAGGGGGAAAAATAAAAATCATTGTGCTTATTTTAATACATATAGAATTTATTTTTCATCTCCTCAGATGCCATTCATGCTCAAATGTTACCCGGTTTCCTCGATACAATGACCCGGTGAAGGTACATCACTTCTATTCACCATCACCAAGAGGTTTCCATTTTAAAATTATTTTGACAGTTGTTAGTTCTTTTGTATGCAGCTCCTAGAAACAAGGAAGGGGCGCTGTGGGGAGTGGGCTAATTGCTTCACACTCTATTGCCGAGCTTTTGGTTATGAAGCACGTTTGGTAATACTTCCTTTCTTCTTTTCTCCCGAGTAAGCATTCCTATAAATTAATATAACAAATTTTTACTTATTTAAACTCACAAAGCATAGCTTGATAATCTAATGGCTAATGCACTGTTTATATAGATGAATAATGAGCCAAAATTTATTAGCTTAAATTCTATGGCGTGTAGGCCTAGGATATAGTCTACGTACAGTGTACTATGGCTTAACAATCTCAACAAGCTGGAGCGCATAACCTATGCAAAAGTTGGACATGAAATTTGAACTTCAGTTTTCCCTTTCCAAAAAGATTAATACACCAAACATAACTACTAGAAAGTGGAACTCTAATTTGGACTTGAGTACCAGAATGGATTAACTTGAATGTTGAATGCTACCTTCAGTTTTACCTAAACAGTGCGAAGGTTAAACTATACTTTGAACTTGTACTGAAAACATGAACAACATTTCACTCAATGTAACCTTGATTTATTCCCTGCTCCACTGAGTTCACACTTCACAGCCCTAACTGGATTTGAATTTGAGGCAATGACAGTAACAACAGAAGTAGTTCAAGAACTAGTACCTTTGAATTTAAGAAACTACTCGTGTTCAGACTTTGAAATCTTAGAGGAAATTTGCCATGTTGGGGTGTCCATGGAATTTCCAACAGCATTCTTGGGTATGCATTTTTTTAAGACAAAGATCCCGACCAAATGAGTTTGGTGTTCTATGCATGTTCCAACACTTTCTGTGTTCATCGAGGTTATTTTTCACTAATAACACTGTCACATATATGGGACATGGGCACACACATTTATGATTTCTCTTTGCCTCCCTACAAAATTGGGAACTAAGAGTTGACTTTTTAGTTGTGGTGAGGTCTTTGGGAGTATGATAGAACTCAAGATTGGTGGGGAAAATAAATGAAGGATAGTCTTTATCAAATTATGAAATCAGGATCTAACTTCATAAATAATAAAGATGAAGGAAAATCTTTATCAAAATATGAGCAAGAATCTTAAACTCATATAAGTAATAAAGCCAAGGAGAATCTCCAATAATAAATATTGAATTACTTTTCTGGATAGTTTTACAAATAATGAACCTCAATATTTATAGAAGCCAAATAACTACCAATCCCTATAATTTAGGCCCACTACCACACTACTTAGTAACTATTCCTAAACTTTAGGTTCACTACCACATTACTTAGCAACTACTCCTAGAATTTAGGCCCACTTACAAACTATTTACTAAGTAACTGACATATATAAAATAAAACATTTGACCCGATAAACAATAACCCTAAGGGACTCTACCATAAATATTAATAACATAAAATAACTGCATATGGCACTCTATCAGAGTAGGTGAAATTGGAAAGAGTAACTTTAAGAATTCTGTATTTTTGGCTGTCCCTTCACTGAGCATTTTGTACTGCATGTCCTCATATTTTGTTTATGAGATTATTCTATCAACGTCTCACTCTATGATGGATATCTATAACTGGTGGGGACATACTTTAAAGGGGGACACTCATTTCTTGCCTCATCTTCTCTTGTTTGGTTGTTAACTTATTCTCCAGATTATGGACTTTACGGATCATGTTTGGACAGAGTGCTTCTCACTATCCCTGGGAAGGTAAAAACCTTCATTGCTTATGTGTGACTATCATCCATGCATGTGTGACCTTGAAACTTATTATTGAGCCAAACTGTGCAGATGGATGCACCTTGATCCTTGTGAAGGAATTTATGACAATCCATTACTATATGAGAAGGGGTAAATTTTATTTATCCATGTTCTTGTCGCAGTCAATATGCTTCTATGCTTGACCTTGAGTGTCTCCCCATTTTGTTGAAAGGTGGAAAAAGAAATTAAACTATGTGATTGCTATTTCTAAAGATGGGGTACATGATGTCACCAAGCGTTACACAAGGAAATGGCCTGAGGTACATATATTGTAATTTTAGCAAGCCTTGCATTTTATATTCGTACTCAAACACCTGATTAAAGGTGGGAATATTCTCATTAAAGGTTCTTGCTCGGAGGAACATAGTTACAGAAGCTGTGCTCTCTGCTTCTATTTGTGACATAAATAGAGAAGTACGGAAAGATTTACCCTTCCAGATGCTTTCTGCTCTGGAAGAACGTGACAAGAAAGAAGCAGAATCCATTAATAGAGATTTATACTCCAAAGACGATCCTTCAATTTCATTACCTGGAAGATTAAGTGGGGATCAAGAGTGGCGTATATCGAGATCTGAAACTGGTCCTGATCAAAAATCATCCTTAAGCTCTTCATCTTGTCCAGTTCGTAGATGTATAGATGCACATGTAACTAAGGTCTACAATGCATTTTTCCCTATTATCTCAAAGCTGGTTGAGGATTCTGCCTCTAAGAATGAAGCAATTGAACTATTTAGGGCTTTCAGAAATATTTTGGTTGATCTCAAGAAATCCCCTTTCAGAAACAGGAGAACTTCTTTGAATTCTGTTTCCGATAGTGCCCCACATTTTTTCAAGAAGATGCTGCCGTCTTTTGGTCAATTACTTGAAGCTTTATCGTTAAAAAGTGAGTTGGCCATAAATGGGAGGATTGACATATGTTTGTGTGCTGATCCTGTGAGAACGTCAATTGCCCTTCCTGTAGTGTTCCATGCTTTGGATGATGTGATGAATAATGTTAGTCTTTGCAATCGACTTGATAAAGATTCACTTTCTTGGCCACTTTTGAAGTTAAACAGATTGTGTTCTGGTCTAGTGCGTACTAGTGGGGAGGAGCTTCCTTTTGGAATTGTAAGTATTGTATTATCCTATGGGAGCCTGAGAAGTTATTCTGTCCTTTTTTATTAATTATTATTGGCATAAGATATGGTGTTCTGAATTCCGTTGTTGGAAATACATCAGGCCACATCTGCATTTGATGGGACACGCATGTCAAAGTGGGAAGAACCGAATGGGGCAAGAGGTATGCTTTCTTTTTCATGCAAACTTTCCTCTTTTTTCCCTCTGACTATGCAGTACTAAGATCTTCATCTGATCACATAATTCAACAGTTATATGTTTTTCAATAATTCTGAATTATGTTTGTTTTTCTCTGCCTTCTACTAAATTGAAGAAGAAACGATGTCTAGAAAAGCTTGGTGTACTTATTCTCATTTGTGTGTTACTGAATCAGTTCATGGAATCCTCATTTGACTTCTCTGGAGTGTGTTGAGTGGGTGGCTGGGGGCTTTGTGTTTAGTTTTGGCCTACTTGGTGTCAAAGAACGGGTGATGTTTCAAAAGTCTTCAGTCTTCATTACACAATTTGTAGGTCCTTTTGTTTTGGTCTCAAAAGAGGCTACTATATTTTGGATCAGAGAAAGAAGATAGTTGTTACCACACAGACTTGATATTGAACAACCTCTCACCATGCAGTTCATTTATGATGCAAAAAGAAAAGCATAGGACAATATTAAAATTTAGAATAGGTAAGCTCGATAAATGTATCCAACATAAATGTCAAGACTTAGGATTCTGTACTCAAAGGTCAACATTATATGATGAAAAACACAATGCCTTATATTTGGGTTGTAATTTTATGTTTTTTTTATGCTGGTCGCTCAACACGCTCCATAATTCCCATAAAGAGGGCAGCTCTTTGAAGCAGATGAATCTTGAAATCTATATGCTCATTTTGTAGACTTACAAGAATCAAATTTCAAGATTGAGTATAATATGCTTGAATATCATATTAAGACTTGAGTTCCATCATAAAAATCAGCCTTTAGAGAGTTTCATCCTAAAAAGTCAACCTTATAGAAGGCCCACAGCTAAAGGTTTTATAGTTGTCTCAGTTTGCAACTAGGACTTGGACAAGACATATGACGTACAAGTTCAGTTCAAACCTCCCTTGTTTGCCCCCTATAATTGTACATCATCCACGGGGATATCTCTTGGGTCACACGGGTTCTTAAGTTTTCATCTAATTGACTTTATGGTTGGACTCGGGCAGTATCTAAGGCTTTGTCATTTTAGGTTGGAAAACAAAGTTGGATGTTGGAAGAACCTAGGAGTTGGAAAATGTTAGAAGTTGATCAAGTGAACAGAGCCTAATTAGGTGTGGTCGTGTGGGGCGACCCCTGCTATTTATCCCCAAATGGGCATGAACAAGCTTTCTTTGTTTTTCAGCTTACTATCTCTCAACTCACCCTCTTTCCAATAGGTTGTTGGATCTTATATCAAGTTAATGGCAAAGAAATGCATGAGCTTGTGGCCTATGAATTCATGTCTGCTAATGATGCTCCAGAAAGAGATCCAAAGGACTGGTAAAGTGCCTTTAAACTCTCTGAGTTTCAATAGATTGAGAAAAAATATGAAAAAATATTACATTGTAACAGAGTTTGTTTCAAATGAGTGAAACCCATTTCGTTTATCAGCTCATATGAGGATTCGTTGAACATAGTTGTGTTAAAAAAAGATACACAAGTACATAATACTAGATTGGAGTGTTATCTTTTCTAGGAAGTTGACTACAATCAACTTGAGGACTTCTTGTCATCCATTATACCTCACAAAATAGTAGCTTCTGACATTAAAAATTTGTTGTATCCAATTAATAATACTCCCTCTCTTCCTTCTTATTTGATCCATTCACTACTATTCACAGGGTCAATGTTTATCATCTTTATTTGCCTATTATAAAATAAAATAGTCATGTCTCCTCTTGTTTTGTAGGACCTTTGATATTCTTTTTTAATGTACATGTTTTATTTTTTTTATTGTACACTGATTTTAAAATAAGTTGAATTGAAAAAAATTTCATTCAATCGTAAACCAAAATGCGCCAAAATGTCGAGTTTATTTCTCGACTCCTCTGGTTGTTTGAATCCATATTATGGTTTTGGTTTGTAGCTATAGTTTTGATTATTAAAAACAAAAGAATTGTTAGTCAATTAGAGATGGCATTTGAGAAGCTCTGAATAAGCTGTGATATAATATTTTATAATGTTGGGGTCCTCAACATGACCATTAAATAGGGCACATGAGCCACAAACCACACAAAAAGATTAAATCTAATCAATTAGTAACTCTAATTCAAGGTCTTGTTAACCCATATGCTTCTCCGTAATAATTACTCTCTCCTCTCTCCGGCCCTAAATAATTTACCTAATTTTCCTCTTTCCCTTTTTGGATAGGAATATACAGTCCAAAATACTTCCCTCTTCTAAACAAATTTTAACCACCCACTTTCTACATCTTATCAACACTATTCCTAATTTCGTGAAATCGAAATGGGCAAATGATTCTAGGACGGAGGGGTATAGTGAACTTGAGTTAGGGTATTGTAAGTGAACTTGAGATTGATTGATGCATGTATGTTGGTTTCATCAGGGTTCTTGAAGGAAGTGCAGATGGAGGATGTAGTTGGCATGTTTTGGACAAACAAACTTCCCAGAGATTCGATAAACGTTTCGAGCGAAAGGCATTTACTGTCAAACCACAATGTTTCCTAGCGAATGCTTTCAGGTATAGTCGTAACGCAGGCAATCTCTTCACTTCACCTATATATGCAGCACATCTCATTGGAAAAAAACTCAACTTTTTTGAATGCTCAATGCTAAATATTGGCAGGATAAGATTTCTAGCAGTTCGAGATGGGAAGGCAAATCCACGGTTTCAAATTGGCAGTATTGATCTCTATGCAAGATGCAATCAATGATTCAGGTTTGGGTCACACCATGTATGACACCTCCCGTTTTTCATAAACAATGATTTCTTACGCACAATAAGTGTTTGTGTGATTGCCTCAGGTGGTGTCAACCTTGGTGTCAACCCTGGATTAAAGTAACATTGTCCTTCGGGTTTAAATTGACTGATGACAAGGTGTTGGTGGCCTCACATCGAATCGTGGCCATGATACATGGAGGAGATCATATGGGACGTACACGAATTGTGGCCATGATACATGGAGGAGATCATATGGGACGTACACGAATTGTGGCCCACGTTACGGATACCCAGTGCCTACCTCAACCCACCACTCGGCAGACCTGAACCTCAGTTGGCAATCTGACTCATTTCACGCGGGCTTCATCCCCATGTTAATAGCGTGGGCTCCGGTCGTCCGGGCCTAAATACAGTATTAAATATGAAATGAACAGAGAATATGTAGTCTTCTTACTAATTTACTAAACATATTTGGGTTGATCCCAACATACCTGTGAATGTTTATTTAAAAAGGGGAGCATTTAGTTTGCTCTAGTGTTATAAAATTGGTGTGCCTTATAGTCTTTGACAATTCACAGATCCATTGTGCAATCATTTTTTTCATCTCTCATTATCAGTGTTGTGCAAAGCGCTAGGATTCTAGAGGTGTGAAACTGAGAATTACTACCTTCCATTATGGAGTGTTTGTTCGGTTTTTTTTGGACAAATTTTGATTATAAATTAAATAAAATTGATACTACATATTGATATAAAAATATTTTTATTATATTTATCTTTTAAAATATTTTCAAAATATTGTTTTACTTAATTAATATACGGAGTACTATATATGGAGTACATTTTTTTAAAAATTATACTCCCTCCGTCCCAATTTATAGTATCTGTTTCGGTTTACGATGTTTGACTGAAATTATTTTTAAATCATTTTATACGACAAATGGTATAGAGTTAAAAAAGAAAATTTACATATTAAAATTCTACATTAAAAGATCTACAAAACTAGTAGTGACAATAGTACTTTATTTTATCAAATTGTTAACGAAAATTAATAAAGAAAGTGAATGAAGTTTGACCATGTCAATAGTAAACAAGCATTATAAATTGAGACGGAGGAAGTTAAAGATTGATTTTGGTTGATTGTAAAATGTCAAAATTGAACAAATATTCGAGAAGAGGAGTAAAAAGATCTTTCATTACAATGTACCGAGTATGTAGTTCTCTTTTTGTTAACTGTATTGTTTTTGTCCGGATTTAGTTTTTGGGTGTTGCGAAATCACCCCTACTCTGACTATAAATCTAAACCATTTGTCATAAATTTTTTTTAACTACCCCTAAAAGTGTAAATAATGAAAAAAGAAAAAATTAGTTAAGGATAAACAAGTCCAATTCTCATTAATTGGGTGGACTTGGCAACATCAAAATGGATGATTTAAATTGAGACGGGGTTAGTATGAAAGATAGTATATGATCTACATTATAAAGATCAACCACATACACTGTCTGCAAACTTTACTTTTAGTGAAATTTTACTTAATTTATAATCACAAATACGTCAAAAGTGCATATTGGCATTGTTGCCATCAATGAAAAACATGGGGGGTTTCAAGCATTTTTTTGTCACTTCACCCTTATTTCTCAGATTTGAGGTACATAATTGAATTCGGATTAAGGAAGTATTACTATGATTAATGGGTTAGGTGTCGTTTTTCATACGATTGGTTGGTGTTTGTCTACAGTAAAATTAGTGCCTCATTTAGGGCTGTGCATTATTCGGTCCAAACCCGGACCGAACCGGTCCTAATTCGGTCCGGTCTCCGGTCCATCAATTTCCGTTATTCGGGTTCCGGTCCGGTCCGGTCCAAACCCGGTTAGACCGGTGGACCGAATATATGGACTTATATTTTACTATTTTTTAGTATATGGGCTTAAGTACCATACACAAACCCATTAGTCCATTACCCAAAATCCCAAATTAAGGAATCCAGTCAATCCACCTCCTACACAACCCTATCCAATACTCCCAATAGCAAAAGAAATACGGAGTACTCCGTATCAAACACAACCCATTCCTCCGAATAGTCTGACAAAATGCAGGGCTTTCTCATCGGCCACTGGAAAACTTCTGATGGAAGAAGATTAGATTTTTTTGGAGACACGCTGGGGAAGGGCTTTCTTATCGGCAGTCGGCACGCAGTCGTCCACTCGGTCCGGTCGGCACGCAGTCGTCCACTCGGCATATTCTCCCTTATTCGGTCCTTATTCGGGCCGGTCCGGACCAGTCCACTTTTTTTCGGTCCGGTCCCGGTCCGGTCTTACACTTTATCGGTCCGGTCTACGGTCCATTACTTTGCTCTTATTCGGTCCCCGTCCGGGTTTGGACCGATGCACGGCCCTAGCCTCATTCATGGCAACATTTTTCAATGTGGCAATTCAATTTAATGAAACTCATCATTTATATGATACTCCCTGCGTCCAGGAAAAAAAAACTTCTCATTTACACTTTTCTTCATTTTTATGAAGGGTTGAGTATGAGTGTAATTTCCCCAAAATGCCCTCCCTCTCCATCCTTACCAGCCCTGACCCAGTCCCAATTGTTGCCACAGCCCTTCCATTGTCGCCCGCCACACCACCGCTAATTTCTCCGACCATCTTCCCCAGCCCCCTGCACCAAAGCCGTGGCGGTCTCATCATATCCGAGGTAGCCCGCTCCTTTCTCCACACCATCGCCGGATTCGCCGCCACTCCACTACCGTCGGCAGCCCCACCTTCGCCCCCAGCCGGACATCCCCCCCCCCCCAACTGGCGCAAATCTAAATGTTGCAGATCTAAAAGATAGGAGGAGAAAGAAAAAAGGAAGGAGAAGAAGAAAAGAGGAAGAAGTGTATATCTAGAGACTAGACTCACCATCGCCATCATCGTCGCTGCCAACCGCCACCGTCATCACTATCACAATTGCCTCCGCCATCGTTGTTACAATTATCGCCATGCCCTGATCTAGAAGATGGAAGAAGAATAAGAGGGGAGAATAAGAAGATGAAAAATGGAGGGGGAGAAAGAAGAGAGGAGATGGGCAGGGGAAGACCGGAAGAAGAAGAAGAAGAAAGGGTGCAGCCCGGAAGGGTAGATTTAGAGACGGGCAGGGTAGATCTAGGAAATTTGAGAGTAAATGAAATTATTCATAAGAGTATTTTTGGAAGAATTGGGGTTAAAATTAGAAATGGGAAGATTATTTCCGGACGAGAGAAAAAGAGAAACAAGAAGATTATTTCCGGACAGAGGGAGTAGTATTTTATTGAGTCTTATTGTGAATCTTGGATCAGGAAAATTCACTTAGATAGCACTAAAATATAATGACTTTCTCTAAATAGCACAAGTGTTTTTCTTCCCAATATAGCACTTTTAGTCATTATGTAATAGTCATTATTCAAGTAAATATTCGTCATCACTGGACATTATGGACATTATTAAGTGCTATTTAGAGAATAAAATAGTTTTAAGTACTATTTAGGAAAATGACTTAAGTTTTAGTGCTATTTAGTGCAAATATTTCTCATCAAAATCTATTCTGATTCGTTTGCCATAGTTTGTACTCCGGAGTATTTCTATGTGTTTATAAACTGATTTTAACTTGTAAGTCTATCTGATAACATGTTTCACTATACTTATAAGCTGCCCATAAGTCAAAAAAAAGTAAATATTACTTATTTTCAAACTAATTTTTTCATTTCTCCGTTTTGACCAGATTATTAACAAAATTATTTTTCACCATTTATGAAAAACCTCAAATGACTTATCTTTCATTTAAGTCATGTTATTTCTATGAAAGAATATTTAACTTATAAACTTATACAATAAAAATTAATAAGCACCAACACAGAAACGCCTTCTTTGTGTCGCGTAAAAATCTTAACAAAAACACTTGCCAATTTCCCTCCTTTTCATAATACTAGTCCCTCTTGTGTTTGCGCGATTTTTTTAAGTGAAAAGAAAAGCAAAATGAAACCAAAACATAGTAATAGAAGTAACACAAAATAACAATGTCAGGGGAAAGGGGCATTTTTGTTTCTTTCTCTAGAGTAAACTCTATTGAAATTCTAATGGCATCTGGTGAGACAACGACCATGACAAATTGCTTATTGTTTCTTAGGGCATACAATTTGGTAGAATTTCAAGCACAAAGTACAATGAAAACCCAATGTGAGATTAAAAAATTATGATTCGAAACGATATTCGGGGTATGGATGATGTGAAGATAATTGACCTGAACATGCTTTCCAAGGCTCAATGCTCCTCAATCTTCTTCAACCCTTTCATATCTGTTGTCTCCACCCTGCACACGAAATCATCACAAAATCAATACCCAAAAACAAAGCAACACACACACACATTTTATGCATGTAGGGCATGAATTATGATACAGAATAGTTGAAACATGTTGGGTGATTTTCCCAAAAAAAAAAATGACACTGCAAGATCTTCACAAAAGATGGCAGCCAACAACAAACCCAATATAATTTTGTTGGGATTTAGGGGGGGACAAGATATACACAACCGTTAGACCCCTGATGCATTAACTACCCAAAACTTAACTGAATATAAGAAGCAATGTGAGGTTTAATTTAATATTTTAATTTTGCAAGGAGCAAAGGGGGCGAGGATAGATTGAACTCCCATTTATCCAGAGCCATTTCGTTTTTTCCATCAATATTTTGCAACTCCTAGCTATGGAGTTTCGTTTTCTTCCTTTTTCTGAATGGTGAAAACAGACTTATTTAACAAAAGAAAAGTTTCCTGGATTTTTTTTTGCAGCAAAACTTTACTTATTTTTAGCATGTTTGTAATATTTGTGGGTGTGAATCAATCCACCATCTCAGCAAACACCACCAACAATTATGCCCCCAACCGGCATCGGCAACCATAGTATCACGGACATTCAGCTAGCTAGCACTTGTACACCAGATTTCTGCAAAATGAACGCAGATCCATTGGTTCAGTAGGCTGCCATTTGGGGTTTTGCAGTTAAAACAGTCATGCTTGAGCCATGGTGTGATTTGGTGTCAGCTTTGCAACTTTCAGCAGCAGAGAAGGGTACAAGCCGCCATCCAGGGTCTTTCGAAAGATATTGGAATAAAGAACAAGAGCTTGTCAAAGGAGGGCTATGGTGCTGAGACTTATTCACGCTTTCTCACCCTTGGCAGAGAAGGTTATGTTTGACGTTGTCGAATAAAAACCAAATCAATGCTCCAAAACATAAATACGAAGTATTTAATCTTAACTACTGGCTTGTAAAGCAATTGTGAGGGTCCACTCCTAACCATAAAAGGATGTAGAGGTTTTAAAGGTAATACTCCTTAGAGATAATTAAAAGACTAAACCAAATCCATTACTTGCAGTAGTAGGACGATCATTGTGCCATACTCCTTGGGAGGTAGCACGCAGCATGCCTCTTCACTTTGAGCATTGCCAATGGTAATGGTATCCCACAAATGTCTCAATTACATCACCCACTTGTTATCATAGAGTTTTTCCTAAATCTCGATAACACGAATTGTGGTCCGGAATAAAGTAAATGATCCCACAAGCCCTCCTCAACCAGCTTCCCTTTCCAATGCACCAACAGCTCAAGCTGGCCCCAATTGAGTCTGCTGCATAACACTGCCAGAGGTTTGAGCTGGGTGGTCTAGTACTCAAATTGTAGGGATCACATGTTAGGGGGGGAGACCCTTCATACGGCTTAGGTAATGACTAGTGAGACGTGAAAAACATCATGGATTTCAAAATTAGACAGCAAAAGTACCTTGTAGATGTTCTGACCAATACCCGAACCTTATGATGGTGGTGGACCAGGGAGAGCCGGGGGTATGGATGAACTCAAAGCCAGACCCACACACCCGAGTCTCTACTAGAAGTGCATGGTGGTCAATGAGCTTGTGCTTAACTCCTAAGCGGGCAGTCCCAAAAGTGTTTAAAATCAGTTTTGGAGGGTCGCATACATAGCCCCAGGTTGTATGGCAAGATGTGTTATAACCGTAACACATTCACTAGGGTACTATGCTGTACGACAACACTGAAACACCTCAACTGTGTGATTAACTGCCTACATTTGGTCATTTGTTTACGAATGAATGATAGGCAAATAATGAGAGTTGTTGCCACTCAAACAAAGCATTTTGCACCAAACGGAGCTCACAAAAATCTTGTCATGGTCTGGCACAACGACAACAACAACAACCCCGTATAATCGCAACTTCGTTGGAATCTGGGGGAGGGGAGGTCAAGATCTACCCAGCCTTACCCCTCTAAAATACTAAGAGTCTGTTTCCGTTAAACCCTTGATACAGTGCTGCATTTACTACCCAAAACTTCGTTGGAAGTAAGAAGCAAAGGAGGTTTAATGTTCCATTTTAATTTAGTCCATTATTTATCCGAAGCTAAAACATTGTCAATTATGACTATTTTATCTCCATTGGCAATCCAAAGAAACTGTTTAGGCAAAGAATGCAACCATATTGAAAATGCCAGTACATGGATGAACCAAAATTAAAGTGTGAAGCCTTAGACAGGGTATCAATCACAACAAAAAAGCAGATTTCTCAGACACCCTTGACAACCCCTCAATAAATCCATGGCCCATTTTGAATATTCAGAAAAATGAGTAGACCAGGGCCCATTTTGAAGATATTTTTATAATTAAAACTAGAAGAGTCATAGCTCATCAACTGTGTAGTTCAAGGGCTCACGCAATAACATCTATATGAACTCTATACTACAGATACGGTTGTGCACGAGATCCAAAGTCTGAAAATGATACCCAAAGATGTGAAACTTACGTTGAACCATACAGGACAATCTTTTGAACTTTTGTAATTTCATTTCCAGATTGATTATCCTCGATGAAAATCGTCAGGCTGGCCAAACATTATTAGCATGATTAAAGCACTTTAGAAGCCATAACTATCTCAGATCATTGAAAGGGATATGAAGAAAGGAGTGTGGTAATTATTTACCTGCGAACATTTTGAAACTTGACAAACTTCAAGTTGACAGGTTTTCCCTACAGACGTCATAAAACTATTAAAAGTAGACCGAAAGAATAAGAAAGATAGCAATGACGAAGATAGCATCATTTTAAAGAAAATCAAATTCCAAAAAGTGGGTGGGTTATTAATTTACCATAGGCATAGGCCCAAACCATTGTATTAACAAATCATATTTGATATATGATTGTTGTCCAACCCCTAGTTAACAAATCCTATTTGATATATGATTATTGTCCAATCCCTAGTTATTTTATAATTACTTAGTCCTAATTTGTTTATGATTGTTTTCATTGGTTGTATTTAGGGTAGTATTACTAGTCCGAGTCGGTTTGAGAATATCTTTGAGTTGCTTGAGCCTATAAATAAGGTGTTACCTCTTATTCTCTGGAATAGAGAATTTCATCTTTCAACCTAGCTTTATTTTTTTATTTGATTTAACAGGTCCTGTATTCATCCTCTTTATAATCAAGAACAAGAACTATTTCTTAACAGTCAAAACTAAACATACCTTAAGATCATCAACAGATAAATCAGCTGTGTCACTTGGAGGATAGTCAGTAACGTTACTGCAGAAGTGAACCAAATTAAAAAACGACATTAATATGAAAGGAAAAGAGAGAATCCCATCCCAAAAATCTATCATGGAAAGATAAAATCACAGATTAGAAAAACACCTGAATCCCATGTGTTCCTTATTTGCAAATAGCTTCACTGTTTTGGGGCCTGGATTTACATTACGGTTAGGAACTTAGGATGCAAATAAAGAACCTTCACAGGGAAAAAATGTCAAATTTGCAAAAATGGCTTCCTCCTGAATGTTCATTTTTCTTACCTTTTGTGTATTATAGTCTTTTATTGTTGTTGTCATGTGTGTTTGGGGTGGGGGGGGGGGATATTGTGATGATTTTTTAATTAAAACAAGTGGAAAATGCATGAGCATGATCTTTATAAAGAACTGTTGACTGTGTATTGGACATGACTACCTTCCTCCTCGGGGCCTTTGACAACAATGGAATGAAGTTTGACAACTTGGTTAAACGGTATGTAAATCAGAAGCTGCTCGTCAGCATCACTGTCAAGGCTCAAACCCTCATCTTCTCTGTATCCCTTAAATATTATATGAAAAACAAAAAACAAACGAAATATGTTTAGAGAGCCCAAATCATTAAAGTTGCCAAGCATTCAAGCAATATAACTAACAACATGACTGCAGACACTATATAGAATATGAAGTCCCTAGTTTGAAAAAAAAGGTACATTCATCCAGTAGAGATCCTTACTCTGGCTTGTGGTTGTTAGAAGATAAGAGTTTAACTTGTCCAAAAGGGATACCCTATTACCCTCAAAAATCAAAATCTTGCAAAGGCTTAGCAGTTCTGCTCTTTGGGAACATTCTAAACTCTGTGGTGTGTAGTCCAAGGGTGTCAAGCACTTGAAGCATGAGTTTGAAGAGGATGTTATTATGCATCCCATTCTAGTGAGTCATCAGTCATACTAAGAAGTAAGAAGGTTTGGGTTTGTTTTCAAAAGCATTCATAGGTAGGGAAAAACAGTTACTCATAAACTGGCCCCTTCCATGCATCTAGTTCAAGGATTATGTTTCCTCATTTTCATGGAATACTTAACAACACCTAATGCTGTTATTGAAGGGAAGGGACTATCGTGTCAAGAAAATACAAGTTTTAAAGAAACATAGGGGTCTGTTTGTCAGATGATGAGGGCTTCTTGCTCCTCTTGTGCAAGCCTTTTGACATTGTCCATAGCATTGTATATTTGCATTAGTTGGCTACTTTGCCCTGAATCACTGACGAGGATGTGAAAGGTTGATAATATAGTTTGATTCTCTGGCATTGCCAATGAAACTAAAGGAGACTTTTGTTACAGTGCTTTAGCCTCGGGTAGAGAATGCACTAATTAAAATGGCACTTTAAACTTCCGTTGCTTCTTACTTTCTATGGATTAGGCAGTATATGCAGCAATGCATCAGGGGTCTAACAAAAACATAATTATTTTAATAAGGGTTACCCGATGGATTTGAGATTCTACCGAGCTTCTTGTTTTTGTTTGATTCTCTAACATCTTATATTCTTATGTCCAATGCTCTACAAGCACTAAACCCGATCTAATTAAATCTGCTATTGCAGGAAGCATCTATGAAATTGCCAAAAGAAACACAAAGCAAAAATCAAATGCCATACCCTACTAATAGGTTCGGTAATTATGACTGCCTAAAGATCAAATACGGAGTACTCGTATAAACAATTTCCAAAATCCTTCTCTGTCATCCTCAAATTACTAAAACTCATCAATCCCCCACAGTACAGATTTCCATAATTGAAAGGGAAAAGAGTTGCACAATTAAGCTCACATCAAATCATAAAATTGGAGAAACCTCAATTCCAGCAAGGAGTGTTATGTTATGGTTATGTTCGCCCTACCTGCTTGAGGGCGTTGATGATGGAGTGGTTGGTTTTCTGGTTCAGGCATTCAACTTCAGACCAGTTGATGAAGTCCAGCAAATCAACCTGTTTGTGTTCACCAACGTTCAATGCCCCACCCGAATACCAGACATTAGATTAACTCAATACAGATACCATCTATGTGTATATAACTTCTCGGATGGGAAAAACCAAAAAAACAAAGAAATCTGAGAGAAGCAACGCGGAAATCCATACCTGGCCTCTGGGAATTGCAGAGGCGGACTCGGCGGACATTGTTGATGGAGGGAACAAGCCGTTGCCGGAAGGAAGGATAGACTATATAGAGGCAGAGAACTAGGATGAGCCCATAGGCCGATGAACCCCTCAGTCACTACAGTTTGTTCTTTTTGTTTAATTCAAGAGCAATGCTAGCGTGCTCGTTCCCAGTGCTCGTTCCCAAATAAAATATAAAATGGTCACAAATTTCATAAATTATTCAAGATTACTTTATGGAAAATGCTAAGGTGCCACCACATGGGTGCTACCATGACCGTACCCATGCTTTGCACACACAAATATAGACAATAATTGTCTGTGTCGCACAGACAATAATTGTCTGTGTCGCACAGACAATTATCATCTGTGTTTGTCTGTGCGAAAGCATGGGTGCACCCATGGTAGCACTCATGTGGTGGCACCCTAGCATCATGGTCCTTACTTTATTTCTTTATTGAAGTAAATAAATACGGAGTAGTAAGTTTGTGAGATTTGTAAATATTTTATTCGTGAACCAAACATTTCTCTAATTTTAATTTAATTTGTGCTGTTGGTTTTATTAAGGATTTGTCCAATTTGATTTACTTTTACCATAGTTCTATTAAAAATTATTTCTGATCTAATTTTAATAAGAATAAATATTACGCACCAAATAATAAGAATTTGTTGAAGAGTTTGGCCGAAAGCGGTGTTCTATCCATATTTATATCCATTAAAAATTACTGGTATTTATTTTCTATCTGTACATCTTTATCAAACGAGTCTTAATGTTATACATCGGATTTTGACTCATTGGGACGTTTTACCTGATCAAATATACCCTTAATAAAACTTGATACTTTTTATACTGCAGTTAATTAAAATCGATGGAAGTACTACAATGGGGTAAACATCTTGATTGAGGGTTTGTTTCTTTCACACTAATAACTCTGCTACAATGTATTATCTGTCATACATTTTTTTAACCTATTTAATATTAGAGGGTTACACCCCATATTGGGGTTCAAACTTGTGACCTTCCATTTGGGAGGCCACAGTGATGCCGCTAGACCACAAGGTCTTTGCCAATTGAGCATCTATTTTGTTGGAGAAAAAATGTTTCTTTAGAAAGTTATTTTCTAAAGAAAAATGATTTTCACGAAAAAATATTTATCCCTCAAATTTTTGAATTCTCCATTGTTTGATAAGAAAGAAAGTTTTTGAGTACTTGAGGGCTAAATAAGACTCTAGGAGTAGACATTGACATCATCGAAGATACTAGCCTAAGAAAAAGATTAAGAATAAAATATACTCCCTCCGTCCTAAAACTTTCTTCCCGGTTCGCAAGACAGAGAAAAATCCCAAATTTTTTCAATCTATTTTATTTAAATATTGGTATAGAAATAAAAAATAAAACATACATATTTAAAAACTACATCAAAAGTTCAACAAAACAAGTGGTGACAAGAATATTTTATTTTATCATATAGGCCATGAAAAAACACAAATAAATATAAATTCCCGTGAAGTTGGAATAGTGCTCTGGGAAGAAAGTTTTAGAACGGAGGGAGTACAAAATATACTAAAATATGAGTTTCATTTTTTTTCAAAATAGCAACTAAAATACATCTATAATGCCAATCATGCCTATATATTATACCAAAAAGTATTATGAAATCATATACAGTGTCACATTATCACATTACAAACTCATATTTTAGAGAAAAAATATGAAACTCCTATTTTAGTATTTTCTCTATGTTTTAGTCATATTTAGGGTTATTTCTTCGCTAAAATTGCTTCTGCCCACAAACTTCATTGCTTCTTCTATTTCTTCTTCAACACTATCGTCATCGGGGACACTAACATTATTAAATGAGTAAATTCCATAAAAAGTCTCTAGTTATAGTTCGTTTTACATATTTAGTCCATACATATCAAATATTAATAATTTAGTCCCCAATTATTATATTGTTTTCCACGAATGGTCCTTTGTTAGCATTTCCGTTAAAACATGGATAAAATTGTAAATTCAAACTCCCTCTCTTCTCAATTAATCTTCCTCCCTCCTCTTGCACTCCTTTGAACCCAAAACTGAAATCATCACTCATGTCTCAATTGTTCGTCTTCTTGGTGGAATCCAAAATCGAAACCAGTAACCTCTATGGATGAGTTATAAGGTTTGTTTTTTTTTTGTAATTTCCTGAGACTAACCCATAAAACTTATCCACGAAGGTTATTGGTTTTGATTTTGGATTCCACTAGGAAGAGAAAGATTGAAGGAGTGATCGTTTTGATTTTGGGTTTAGAGCTTCAAACTCAGCGACAGGTTTGGGAAAGCAGTACAAGAGGAGGGAGGAAGCTTAATTAAAGAAAAAGAGGAGCGTGAATTTACAATTTTTTCCATGTTTTTAACGGAAATGTCAACAAAGGACAATTCATGGAAAACAATATGATAATTGTGGACTAAATTATTGATATTTGATATGTAAAGACTAAATATGTAAAATGAACTATAACTGGGGACCTTTTATGGAATTTAATTTTATTAAATTCTTTGAAACTCCGAAACTAGCTACATACATTGTTGCGCGTGGCCCGAGTTCGTCAATGTCTTCTTAGGACATTGAAGGTGTGGACCAACCAACATTAACATCGTTTTCTTCTCCGAGAGGGTAGAGGGCAATGAACGACGGGTAGTTGAGGTTTGTGTTCCATTTGGAGCGGTTCTGTTAGAGTTCCCACATCGGAAAATAAAGATGAGTATCACTTGCATATATTGAAGGGTGAAGCCCTACCTATAAGCTTAACCTTTTGGGTTAGAATTGTGGATCCCGACTTTATATGCAAGTGGTTAATTTTACCCGACACTCTATCCGTTGTTCTCGGCCCACTGGAATTTTAACATGGTATCGGAGCAGGTCCGGTCCGGGTTTGATTGTTCCTGGTTGTTTAGATGTGGGTTTAGCAAAAATGAGCTACCCGTATGTGGTTTGGGCTGAGTTGGCTAAAAAGAGATTGAGATGCCACCGCCACTTGTGTGGGCTAGCTATAAGAGATTGAGATGCTAGACCCGTTTGTCCACGTGCTAACTAGGCCAGGCTAGTTACCACTTGCGGGGGAGTGTTGGAGTTCCCACATCGGAAATAATAAAGATGAGTATCACTTGCATATATTGAAGGGTGAAGCCCAATCCATAAGCTTAAGCTTTTGGGTTAGAATTGTGGATCCCGACTTTATATGCAAATGGTTAATTTTACCCGACACTCTATCCGTTGTTCTCGGTTGCCAAGGATCTTGTAATGCTCTAGAACTGAGGTGCTGTGAAGTTTGTGGAATTGAGGAGATTGCGATATTCTTATGGGTGACGTCGTACACTAGACTCGCGTCAACTACCATGTTTGGGTCGACCATTCCTGCACCCATGCATGTGTCTTGGCGTCGCGTCACCACAGAGCTGTTTGGAGTGAACAAGTTGTAATTTTAAAAATAGAGTGATTTTCATAAATGATCACTAACTACATGTGATTTTTTATATTTAGTCCCCAATTTTAAAATGTTACATAAATGATCTTCAACTTTTGAAAACTATTTCATAAATAGTCATTTAGACCCAAGTATTTCAAAATATTTTTCTCCCACTAGTCCCACATATAGTTCCTGAAGTTTCGCTTATGAAATAATTTTTAAAAATCTGGGCCTATTTATGTGATATCTTAAAATTGGAAACTAAATATGAAAAACCACATTAATTAGAAACTATTTATAGAATTTACTTAAAAATTTCATAGATATTTAAGTTTAAACAATTGTATATTGTCATTCAGCAATAACAACACAAATATGACAATTTAAATAAAAAAAATCTAAAGTTATTTCATCCATTACATAAAAATATGATGCCTTTAAATTTGTAAGAAAAAAATCACAATGAATTAAAATGTCTACGAAATGTCATGTAGGATGAGGAAAGAGCTCATGTGGATGCCAAATAAGTATTTTACTGACCGGACAATCACAAAATCCGGTAAGGGTACCAATTTGTCATGATTTTAAAGATGAGCTATATCTTTGTTACAAATTAAGCATATGAAGCCGGTATCCGATTTCTAACAACTACAATGAAATACAATTATATTAAGCATAGAGCCAAGTTCTAGGGGCTTTAGGGATGAGATTCATCCTTTTTTACAAATTAAAGCAATACTCTAGGAAGTACTTTTTTATTGTTAAGCTCAAAGTTGAGGTACATACTATAAAAAACCCCAAGATTTAGTTCACAAGTACCAAGAAAATTAAAATAAATAAGGGTAAAATATGTTTTTGGTTCCTGTAAATGAGTGACTTACTTTTAGTATCTCTAAATTAAACATCCTTAGTAAAAAGTTAAAGAGACCAAAAACAAAAAAAAAATTGGATTTTTAAAAAAAAATTAGAGAGACCAAAAACAAAATAACTTACTTTCTAGAGACCAAAAACAATTCAATTTTTATACTATTAGACTAATCAATATAGAGTGAGATATTTCTTTGGTACTTTCAAAGATATCATGCTAAGTATGCTCATTCTTCATTGTCGTTGCCAGAATTAGATCCCAGACATTGCCCTTCTTGCACTGCTATTGACTATTTGAGCTATGCCCGGGGCATATTGGTTGATCTCTGGATACGTAATTTTATTTCTTTTGGAAATATGATATTCCTGCACAATCTGAAATGACATGAAAATGCATGATAATGAATCTAGAAGAAGATTTTAATGCATTTATAGAGTACTTTCTTCATTCCTTCATAACTATACAGTATGACTTTTTTGTACTGGAAAATAAATAAATGTAGATATATTTTATATTTACATTCATTTATTTTCAATGTATCTGGAAAATCATAATAAAAAGTTATAAAGGAGTGGATGGAGTATTATTACCGATACAATAGTTTATGAAACATTTGAATCAACATAGTCTAGCTGTGAGATTTTGTACTTGTGTTTAATTTCTAGCAAAACAGATCAAAGTGAAGAACAAGAGCTTTTTGCTATGAAGAACAAGAGCTTGTCAAAGAAGGGCTATTGGTGATGAGAATTAACCATGCTTTATCAGTATCACCCTTGGCAGATCAAGATGGTTATGTTTAACATTATGAAGAAAAACCAAATCAATGCTCCAAAACATAATTATTTATCCTAACGAAGAGACTGTTTCCGGTAGACCCTTGAAACATTGCGGCATTTGCTACCCCAAACTTCATTGAAAGTAAGAAGCAAAGGAGGTTTAATGTTCCATTTTGATTTAGTCCATTATTTATCCAAAGCTAAAACAACGTCAATTACGACTATTTTGTCCCCAGTGGCAATCCAATGGGGCTATTTAGTCAAAGAATGCAGTCGCATTGAAAATGCCAGTACATGGATGGACCAAATTTAAAGTGTGAAACTTAAACAGGAGATCAATCACAACAAAATAGAAGACTTCCCACACACCTTTGACAACCCCTTTTGAATATTCAGGAAAATGAGTAGACCAAGACCCACTTTGAATATATTTTTATATTTAAAACTAGAATAGTCATAGCTCATTGACTGTGTAGTTCAAGGGTTCACACAATAGCCTATATGAACTCTATACTATATACGGTTGTGCACGAGATCAGGAGTCTGAAAAAGATACCCAAAGATGTGAAACTTACATTGATCCATACAGGACAATCTTTTGAACTTTTGTAATTTCATTTCCAGATTGATTATCCTCGATGAAAATTGTCAGGCTGGTCAAACATTATTAGCATGAATAAAGTGCATTAGAAGCAATAACTATCTCAGATAATTAAAAGAGACGTGAAGAAAGGAAAGTGGTAATTATATACCTGCGAACATTTTGAAATTTGACAAAATTCAAGTTGACACGTTTTCCCTACAAACATCATAAAACTATTAAAAGTAGACCAAAATAATAAGAAAGATAGCAATGATGAAGATATCATCATTTTAAAGAAAATGAAATGCCAAAAAGTGGGTGGGTTATTCGTTTACCAAAGGCATAGGCCCAAACAAGGCTAAAATCCACCATTGGTCCTTCTTGGTTGCCATTAAAACAGAGCTGACTTTGTTGATTACATCCAAGAACCAAGAAGCAACGTAGATTAATTGTAGAAATAAAGAGGAAATTGATGATGAAGTTGATGAAAGAGAGATCTGAAGTTGAGCATATGTAAACAAAATTGAAGATGAAATAAGAAATTAAACAAGCCCTTTTTGGTCATTTCCTTATCCACCGTTTGGTTTAACGTGTCCCGTCAATCGCATCTGCAAGTCGGAGCATTACTTGAAGTCTTGAAGGACTATTTATGGATATTTGAAAGTTGATAGACCAATGGTGCACAACTCAAAAAGTTGAAGGACCAATGGTGGATTTTAGCCGCCCAAACAATCGTATTAACAAATCCTTATTGATTTATGATTGTTGTCCTGTCCCTAGTTAATTTAGAATTACTTAGTCATAATTTGTTTATGATTGTTTTTCTTAGTTCTATTTAGCGCAGTATTAATAGTCCGAGTCAGTTTAGGAATATCATAGAGTAGCTTGTGCCTAAATAAGGTGTTACCTCTTCTTCTCTGGAATAAAGAATTTCATCTTTTAGCTTAATAGCAATCTAGCTTTATTTTTTAAAATTTGCTTAACAGGTTCAAATGCTTTATCCATCCTTTTTATAATCAAGAACAAGAACAATTTCTAAAAAGTCAAAACTAAACATACCATAAGATCATCAACAGAGAAATCAACTGTGTCACTTGGAGGATAGTCAGTAACGTTACTGCATAAGTGAACCAAATTTTTAAAAAATGACATTAATAAGAAAGGAAAAGAGACTTTTCCAACCCAAAAATCTATCATGGAAAGAAAATCACAGGTTGGAAACTCACCTGAATCCCATGTGTTTCTTATTAGCAAATAGTTTCACAGTTTTAGGGCCTGGATTTACATTACGGCTAGGAACTTAGGATGAAAATAAAGAATATTTACAGGGGAAAAAATCAAATTTGCAAGAATTGCCTCATCCTTCTCCATGTTTATTTTTCTTACTTTTTGTGTATTATAGTGTTTTAATGTTGTTGTGGTTTGTGTTTGGGGGGATTATTGTGACAAATTAGCACTTAAACTAATTGGAAAACGCATATCGATAATCTTTATATAGAACTGTGGACTGTGTAAGGGACATGACTACCTTCTTTCTTGGGGCCTTTGACAACAACGGAATGAAGTTTAACAGCGTGTTTAAATGGTATGTAAATCAGAAGCTGCTCATCAGTATCACTGACAAGACTCAATCCATCATCTTCTCTGTATCCCTAAAATATAATATGAAAAACAAGAAACAAACCATATTTGTTTAGACAGGCCAAATCATGAAAGTTACCGAGCAATAAAACTAACAACATGACTGCACACATTTATAGAATATATGAAGTGCGGCAAGTGCCTAGTTTGAAAAAAAGTACATTCATCCAGTAGAGATCCTTAATCGGGCTTGAGGTTGTTACAAGACAAGTTTAACTTGTCCAAAGGGGATACCGTCAAAATCTAACATAGGTTTGTCAGTTCTGCTCTTTGGGAACATTCTAAACCATGTGGTGTGTTGTCCAAGCGTGTCAAGCGCTTGAAGCATGAATTTCGAATGGGAAGTTATTATGCTTCCCTTTCTAGTGAGTCATCAGTCATAAAAAGAAGGTTGGTCGGGCTTGTTTTCGTAAGCATTCATAGGTAGGACAAAATATTTACTCATAAACTAGCTGCTTCCATGCATCTTGTTCAAGGAATATGTTTCCTCATTTTCATGGAATACTTGACAACATCTGTTGTTGTTATTGAAGAGATTAACGTGTGAAAAAAGAATCAAGTTTTAATGAAACATAGGGATGTGTTTGTTGTATGAGGAGGGCTTCTTGTTTCTCCTCTTGTTCAAGCATTTCAACATTGTCCATAGCATTGTATATCGTAATAGCTGGCTACTTGGCCCTGGATCACTGACTAGGATGGGAAAGGTTGATAACATAGTTTTGATTCGATATCATTGGCAATGGAGCTAAAAGGAGAATGCACAAATCAAAATGGCACTTTAAACTGCCGTTGCTTCTTACATTCTATGAATTGGGCAATATATGCAGCAATGCATCAGGGGTCTAACGAAAACAAAATTATTGTTCTTATAAGAGTGCCTTGATGGAGTTGAGAATATACCAAGCTTCTTGTTTTTGTCTAATTAATATTTCTTATGCCTAATGCTCCAAAACCACTAAAACCAGATCTAAACCTGCTATTGCAGGAAACATCTATGGAATTGCCAAAAGACACACAAAGCAAAAAATCAAATGGTACTGATCGGGTCGGTAATTACGACTCAAAATCTTCCAATATCCTTCTCTATCATCCTCAATAATCTAAAATTCATCAATTCCACCACAGTACATATCATCGTAATTGAAAGAGAAAGCAGTTTCACAACCAAACTCGTACCAAATCATAAAACTGGAGAAACCTCATTTTCAGCAAGGCGTTTCACTAACCTGCTTGAGGGCGTTGCTGATGGGGCGATTGGTTTTCTGGTTCAGGCATTCGACTTCGGGCCAGTTGATGGAGTCATGCAAATCAACCTGTTTGTGTTCATCAACGTTCAATGCCACCCGAATACCAGACAATCATTAGCTAACTCAATACAGATAATATCTGTGTGTAGATAACTTCTCGTAAGGAAATACAAAAAAAAATTAAAACAAAAAGAGATCTGAGAGAAGCAACGCGGGAATCCTTACTTGGCCTTTGGAGATCGCAGAGGCGGACTCGGCTGACATTGTTAATGGAGATCGGAGGGAACCCGCCGTCGCGAGGAAGGAAGGGATAGAGACTATAGAGGCAGCGAGCGATTGATAGAAATCGCGGGATTTGGGAGGGAAAAACCAAGGGATTGTGGTGGGCGGTGGAATCCGAATTCTGAAATGTGAACTTCTTAAGTTCTTATACACTAATTATATTTTCTTTTTTTCTTTTTTTGTAAAATATATACTTCCTCCGTCCCTAAATATTTGGCACATTTGTATTCCCGAGATAAAATATCAAGTTTTTTCAATTCATTTTATTTTACATATTGGTATAGAAATAAAAAATAAAATTTACATATCAAAAAACTACATGAAAAGTTCTTCGAAATAAGAGGTGTCAAGAATATTTTATTTTATCAAATAACCAATGAAAACGTAGAAATAAACAAAAGTTCCCGCGACTGCTAAAAAAGCAAATGTTGCAAATAATTTGGGACAGAGGGAGTAACAATTTTTTGTTGTTTATGAAAAAAAATTATAAAATGAGTATGGAAAAGGAGCACATAAGATTTTGTCTTGACTCTTTTTAACAAAAAAAAAAGAATAAAAATTTAGAATATTTATTTTGACACTTAAGTTCACCTAAATTGGATCTTCTCAAACAATGAAACGAATAATCTTATTAGCTCGTATGGTGATTACCCTACGAAGTTGTTCGACCAGCAGAAGAGGTGCGTAGTTGCTCCGCCGTAAGGAAGGGGCAAGAAGTTCCCAGGTTTGCGGTGGTTATATTGAGGCGGAAAGAACACCCAAAACTCTGTGTGGAGGGTATGGAATTTTATGACTAAAAATAAAATTACTAACTACTCCAGTCCACTGTGTTACGTGTGTAAATTTGATAATTTCTATCCTTTTAACCCTACGATACTTCGTTTTTATAAATGTTGCTGCCAATTAGTGATTTGGAGCTGGAGTGGGGTTAAGACAATCAATTTCGGTGACTGTCATTATACGACATTCCTTCATAGTCTCAAAACAAGTGCGTCACAAAGTGATAAGGGTGAAGTCTCGACTCTCAAGTAGTCGAGATAAAAAATGAGATTTATCTTTTTTATGGTAGTTTCTGCTGTGAAGGAGGAGAACACATCACTTGTTTTCATCACTTGCCTTTTTCAAAAAAAAAAAGGTGGAACGCCCATCTGGCCTGACATGATTGCAAAAAAGATAAATATGGTATAATCTCAATGTGTTTCTTGAAGAGGCCGCCCGTGCCAGTTGGCAAGGACTGGTGTTGGTGAGTAGTTGAAGGAAATATATAACTTGATTGTGATCTACCAAATACGAGAAATATCTAAATAAAAAGTTTGAATTTTTCCATATTTAGCTAAAAATTTAAAATAAATTATGAAAGATGCGATATTTCATCTATTCCTGAATATTTATATATTTTTGACTTTCACGATTAATTATTATCGATTTTTGTTCTCGAGTAAAATAAAAATTATGTTATATTAATTACATAAAACAATATTTTAAAATTATTATATAAAATAAATCTACAAATTTTATTTAATTGACAGTAAGTCAAACGTGAATCAATCAGCGAACAAAGAATCAGAGGAGGCGGGACTCCACCACTCATCTCCTTCTCCTCCATGGCCGCCGTATTTCCAATCGCTCTCACCGCCGTCGACCACCGTAATGCATCCGCCATCCTAAGCAGCTATTCCATCACCCAATCGCACAAACTGCGCCGCCAGCCCACTCTCAGAGTCAGAGCCTGCTCCCCCGCCACACCTTCCCCTGTCCTAACGCAAGACGCCCTCAAGAAGATCGCCGCAGAAAAGGCCGTGGATTACGTCAAGAGCGGAATGGTCCTCGGCCTCGGCACCGGTTCCACCGCCGCCTTTGCCGTGGCCAAGCTCGGCGAGCTCCTCTCCTCCGGCCAGCTATCCGACATCGTCGGCGTGCCGACGTCCAAGCGGACACAGGACCAGGCCGCCGCGCTCAACATCCCCCTGTCCACGCTCGACGACCACCCGAGACTCGACCTCGCGATCGACGGCGCAGACGAGGTCGATCCAGATCTAAACCTAGTCAAGGGCCGCGGCGGCGCTCTCCTCCGCGAGAAAATGGTGGAGGCCGCGTCGGACAAATTCGTGGTGATCGTCGACGATTCCAAGCTCGTCTCCGGCCTCGGCGGATCCGGACTCGCCATGCCGGTGGAGGTGGTCCGATTCTGCTGGAAGTACAATCTTCTCCGGCTCCGGGAGATGTTCCGAGATCTGGGCTGCGAGGCAAAGCTGAGATTGCAGGGGGACAATAAACCCTACCTGACGGACAATTCCAATTACATTGTGGATCTGTACTTCAAGATCCCAATTAAGGATTCGGACGCCGCCGGGAAGGAGATTTTGGCGCTTGAAGGAGTTGTGGAGCATGGACTGTTCCTGGACATGGCCACTGCTGTCATTATTGCTGGGAAGGAAGGTGTCACTGTGAAGAGCAAGTGAAGATGGAGGGAGGGCATTTGCCCTACACATTCTGGTAATTTTTTTTTTCACAATATTCATTTTTGTTCATGAATTTGGAAATTTATATATAGTGTAATGTTACTTTAACCCCAACGATGACACCGCGGTTTGCCACCACAGAGAATCTTACACAACTAGTCATTGTCTTGTCTGTGAGAGTATTGTGGTTTCATTCGTGTTGTGATAGTAGCATGGGGTCACACTCGGTTAGACACCAAGGGTTTAACAGATATCTCCGAACATACAAACAATCATTGTCTGTGGCCGTTGATGTCAAATTCTTTGTGTCAAATCCGGTGGTTTCTAGCATTTTTGTAACTCATTTATATATGCACTAGAAATCCACATAATTTAACACCAATAGTTGGGCACCAAATGTTTCATAGATATGCACAACACGTGTTTGCTCATCACAGACAATGGCTGTATATCTGTCTGCAAAATATTTGGTGTCAAACGTGGTGTGACCTTAGACTACTTCTTAGTACAATGGTGATTGGTGAGATTGAAATGGTTGGGGTTTGAGTAAAAATGACTTGTACCAATAGTCTGTCTATGAATAAACTATGAATTTTGGTACATTTGTTGAGTCTTGTAGCAAGGTTGGGGTTTGAGTAGATGATTGGTGAGATTGAACTACTATGAATAAACACCCAACTTTTCTTGAAAGAAAATGGGGTTTTTTTGTTTTGGTTTTTGGAGCTTGAATAATGATTTTGTAGCTTATGGTGTATAACTTGTATTGGTTGATTGGATATGTAAATTTATTCCTTATTTGTTTCCTGGAGGGATGCTTTTGCAGAATGTGCAATGAGAGAGTAGTTTTGATATGAATTTATCAAGTTTCTTTCTTAGTCTGGTATGATTTGAACGGATTGGATTTGATTCCAGTTAAACTTGCGATTTTGTTAAGTTTTGGAGAATTGATATGGGTGTATATAATCCAGATAGGACTCTGGAATAGCCAATTCCAGGTAGGACCAGATTCAAACCGGTATGCTTTAGGTCCACAAGTTTAGGACTCGTAGAATTTTGCTCCATTCCAATTCATACCCGGAATTATACCAGGTTGAACCGTTAAAACCGGAAACATACTTTATTGTTGAACTTTGTATTGAGTATATTTTATCATACTTTCTTATAATAAACACATCGGCTACTTGGCCAAATTTGAAATCTATAATCTCACCAAATATGAGTGATGTTTATCCCAACGTTTACCTCTAAAATATAGAAATTCTCACATTTTTCATAGGTTTGTATGCAAAAAATTCACTTTTTTATGCTACAAATATATTAAAGTCTATAAAATTTGTATGAATCTTAAAACCATAAGAGAATTTGCCACTAAATATGGAATATCATTTTTTAAAAACTTTATCTCAAATATGAAGATATATATATCCGTATAATTATTTCTCGCTTTTAAAATTATTCTTTGATTCTTTATGATTGTTTTTTATTTGAATAAGAATAAATTGAAGACATATATTCTATATCTCTACATTTCAAATTTGAAATCTTTTTTATCTCAACAAATATTTTTTAAAACTTGATTTCTTAGATATGAAGACATATTTTATATCCTTCCAAACTCTTCTTATGATCTAAGTGTATTTGATTGATTTTTTATCTGATGCCAATAAGCATAAATAAGTACTCCATAAGAATAAAATAAAGAGAGCATGAGTTAACAAGTGTGAACTTGGCAAAGTTCTTGATGAACCAACGTTACAAGGTAATTAACATCATGTCATGAATGGGCCAATTAGGATAATCGACTCGAGCTAGTCGTATAACATGGGCATAGAGAAATAGCCCGCCTTTAAATCATCTCGTTCTAATGTACTAACCGCAATGAGAGCATATAAATACTCCTATTACATCACCAGGGTGGGAGAAGAAAGACAAAGTACGTCATGACGTCGCTCTATCATAGTTAAATGCTAGATTTAACCTTAGAGCAGCTCCAATGAGATGCTATAAGTTAAAAAATAGAACGTATACATGTTGATGTTTATGTTTTGGTGCTCCAACGGAGCTTCTAATAAATAACACAGCTTTCATAATTACTGTAACATCATTTTTAAATGAAAGACAACTGTAGAAAAGTTATTTTCATATTTGTGGTGGGGAATGATTCTTGGCTTGGTGGGTGGATTCTTGTCAGACAATTACCATTAAAAAAATTATAAATATAGCTATATGCACAATGCGGTTGGAGTGCACCCACAATTAGAAGACTATTCATAGTCTAAATAATGATTTAGCTTACCAATTATACACGATGCCCTTAGAGATTCTCTTACCCTCTAATTTCTCCCACTTGTAACTTGGTTTAACGGGGTTTAGATGATGGACTGTCCAATGCAATTATGCAACCAGCTAGATTTAACCTTACCCTGTAATTTCTCCCACTTGTAACTTGGCTTAACAGGGTTTAGATGATGGACTGTCCAATGCAAACCAGACCAACCGGTCCGATCCTACTTACCAAACCTACAAGCTACATCATTTTGATCTTCTCATTCTCACAGTTTGATCAAATTACAAATGAGAGACAACTGGCTAGACTTCCTTTGGCAGCCCATAGGTATAAAAAGAGCCTTGTTGCACTATCTACTACACACTCAATCAAGGGCTAGACCATGCTAGAAACTCCTCACGACTGCCCTCACAGATATGATTTTATACACAACAGATGACAAAATGTGATTGCATACAATTCGTTCAAACAAAACACCTTGAAGGCAATACCAAACATGGCAATTGCATATACCAAGAACCAAATTGTAGAAGCAAAGATGTCAAGTTAAACTTCAACACTACCAAAGTACTACTACCCTTGAGATCAACAAACAGAAACACCCTCAAAAAAAAAATGAATGCACAGTTTTATGGCTCAATTCTCTATTGAATGAACCAACCATCATCAACACTTAATAGACATTTAGGGGGAAATGGACACCCAAATTTATTCTCAAGGCATTAGACTCAAACAACCAAAACATGAAAGTCAGAGGTGGAAATATTATTCAGCAATGACCACTACACTTTTAAAGAACATATCCAATAGTTCGAAACCTTTTCATTACCAAAATGGTTACAACTGAAAATAGATTGGGATACTAATCAATCAAGAAGAGATTTCACCCACAAATAAGAACCAATATCTCCTTAAGAGGTAAGAGAGCGAAACGAGGTTGTTACTCTTAATCATGCAGCACACCCAAAATGTCCTCATCCCTAAACAAATGAAACCTGCAAAAATAAAAAGAAAAGATCATGATAAGAGAATTCAACGATATTTAATCATTACGACACAATACAGTGTGCAAAATGTGGTTTTTTTCTAACCTTTTTATGTGTTCAGTTATAAAATATTACCTTCTCGAAGATAAAGTTCAACTTTTTTTCTTCAAATGTGACAAACATTTTGGGTTTTAAGAATAAAACCTTTACTAAATAAAATCAAAATAAACAGCTAATATTATTTCACAAGCCCAAATTCTCAAAGTGTAAACTTTATTTTTGGGACAAAATGAGTAGCTTAATTAAACATTTTTTGTGACCTGCGGTCAATATCACAGTTTTCTCCTCACACAAAAATGAAGTTTAACATTGGTTTTTACTTAGAGACATTTTTTGTAATTAACCATTCAACACAAATTGCCTTTTTCACAAGTTCAAAACTTTAGCATGCATAATTTGCACATACTCACATTTGATAGATAAAAGGAAACTTTAACTTTCACTTAAATTGAATTATTTATGCAATAAAACAAAAGAAGAAACTAAATTGATATAAGCATCACTTACTCTTTGTCATCCAATTTCACTTGAGTGCCGCCATACTCGGGCAAGAGAACAGTTTCCCCTTCCTTGAGAGCAACTGGTACATGGTTTCCGGTCTCGTCACGGATCCCAGGTCCCACCGCAACAATTTTTCCGGCGTTCAACTGCAATCAAGCCATTGAATTAAAACACACCTTCCTAAACCAAATGGATCAACTGGCGAAAATTGACGAAGAATAATAACATAAAAAGATAATCCTCTAGACAAACTGATCAAATCGCGAAATTTGACGATGAATCGACAGTCAACACAAGGGAGGAGGAGTTGAAGGCAGACCTTGGCCGACTTCTCCGGCAAAAGAATGCCGCCGGTGGTCTTGGCCGGAGCGGTGATTTTCTCGACCAGAACCCTGTTGAAAGTCGGGACGAGGCGCTTCCACGACATTTCTGCGAATAACGGCGTCGATCGGCGGTTGCACGGCGGCTGAGGAATACGTTGCGGGCGCTGAGAGGGGGAGTGAGCTGATGTAATAGGAGAGGGTAGAAGCTTCTAGGGTTTAGGGTTTCTAATGTCGGCGTCCTGTATTTCAAGTGGGGTTTTGCTCTTAGGTCTCATATGGTTCAACTGGGCTTCTCGTTGCTTGAAGATTTGGAAAAGCTTTTGATTGGGCCCAACGGGTGCACAATGATCCAATCAATGGTGTATTGTACTCAGATTTTATTCTTTGAGTTGGAAAAATTAATTTCGAATTCTTTTAAATTTTTTAGGTTTCTTCGAGCTCTTCCGATTCTTTCCAACTATTTTCAGTTTCTTTAGCAATGACTTAAAAAATATTTATATATGGTAATATACAATAACATTATATATTCAAATTTATAATATACTATCTTAAACACATATAATGATGAATCTTTTTTATCTTAAGTTTGAGTTTTTTATATATTTCTTTGGTTGATCATTTAATTGATCGCCTTTTAAATATTTAAAGTTTTTAAATATTTTTCAATTCTTTCCAGTTTTTTACAACATCAATTCTGAAATTTCAATTTAAAGAAAAGAGCTTTGATGTTAATATTTTTAATACTCCATACTATGAGTACTTATAGGATACATCGTGTTGTACGGTGTTTCTTATGTATCTTCATTAATACCAAAAGAATATTTGTTGCGGATGTACAAAAAAACATCATAGAACTAATTGAATGATATATTTTGCATTTGGGATTGTAAATGAAACAGTTTGTTATTGATTATTATTTTTAAAATGTAAAAGTTAATTCAAACAAAGCTATAACAATGTGGTGGTCGTAGAATGAGAAGTTCTTTTTTGGACGGAAGGAGTAATATTTTTAATACTCCGTACTACGAGTACTTATAGGATACATCCGCTGTGCAGTGTTTCTTACGTATCTTCATTAATACCAAAAGAATATTTGTTGCGGATATACAAAAAACATTGTAGAACTAATTGAACGATATATATTGCATTTGGCATGGGATTGTAAATGAAACGGTTTGTCATTGGTTATTATTTTTAAAATGTAAAAGTTAATTCAAACAAAGCTATAACAATGACAAATATTTCTCCTGTCCCGTAGTATTCATCCAGTTTTGACTTTTGGCACTGTTCATCTAAGCACTTTGACTCATCAAAATTTTCCAATGTGTAAGCCTAAATATAGTCATATGTGATCTTGTTTGATTTGTCTTAATGTATAGATTATTAATATATAATTTCTATAATTTTGTAATACACAAATTACAAAATAAAATGGGTTAAAGAAGTGTATTGGATGATGTGTAAAAATGAAAGTGGACAAATACTTTAGGACGGAGGTAGTAATTATTTAAACTATGAAAAATTATTTCCTATTCCTCACATGAAATATAATTTTCACAAAATAAATAACAAATTTTAATATTTTGAATTCATTTTATTTTAAAAACAAAAACTAGAATACATTCGAAATAGTATTTGAATGTTTGTTATTCAAGAATATAAATTCTACGGAGTAGTAAGAAATAAGTATATTCTCTTCATCCCAAAAAATATTATGGGTGTTAATCCATACTGGTGCTCATTGACTAATTGATTATAAGTAAGTTTCAATTTATAAATTAATTATAAGTCAAATATTTTTTTCATGGGGTAATAACTATGTGAATAATCTTGTCGAAATTGAGAAACGAAGAAACTGACTTAAAAATAAGTAAGTAAAAATTAGTTACGAGTATTTTTTTGGTCTTATAAACAGTTTATAAGTGAGCTTATAAATATATATAAACATGTCATCAATTAATTTATACGTTAAAATTTGCTTATAAACCCATAAAATTTTTATATAATTTTAGATAGTATAATTTTTTTTAAGAATATGTAAATAAAATAATTTTAAAAAAAGATTATTTTAAGCATTGTTTGAAATGTGATTGAATACTTTGGGTAGGAGGGACAAATTTTGTTCCGGCGATATGTAGAACGCCGCCGGTGCTTGGCGGCGACAGCGAATACCATTAGAGCTCGTCCACAGCAATGGAAGTCATTCGCCTCGGTTGCGGACTGCCACAGCCTTATCCCATCAGAAATACTCCTCCGCCACAGAGACAAAGATGGAGCCTCTCTGGCTCCGCCACTTCCCGATCTCTTTCAAGGCTTTATCCCCAATCCGGCGCTTCATTAGTTGAGTTCCTTTTTTTTTTTTCTGTTTTGTGTTTCAATCTATATAATCTGTAGTGGGCATTATTAGAGTTCCTTTGAATGGTGAGGTTCAGTATTAAGACTCAGATTTCAATACTAATTGCTCATCTCTGAGCCTTATACTCTCCGTGTCATAATGTTTTCTCCCACAGACACAGGTTTTCAGGAAAGGTTCCTCAACTTCTGCCATTTTTCTTCCTTTTCTCCAACAAGAGGAAGAAGAAGATGATGACGACAACAAGGATGAAGATGGAGTGGCTGTTGTGGAAGAAGAAGAGGAAGAAGAAAACAAAGAAGAATTGTCAAGTTTAAAATTGAATGACCCAATAATGAATTTCTTCAAGACAAGGGTAGAGGGTCCGAACACGGGTTCTGACCCCGATCGTCTAGGCAAATTCTCCCTCAGCAAGAACCGCAAAACATCATGGCGCCTATCCCAATCAACTGATTCAAGCCTAAAAAATGATGAAGTAGAGGAAGAAAACGACGATGCTCCCAAAAATGTGGAACTCCAAACAATTACAAGAGTTGAGGGCGTTGTCGGTGAAATACTGGAAAGAGCCAAGACATTACCAGAAAATGTGACATTAGGAGAGGCACTAGGGGAGTTTGAGGGCCAAATCCGGGAGAGAGAATGTGTGGAGGTGTTGGGGTTGCTGGAGAAGGAGGGTCTGATCAAGTGCTGCCTGTACTTTTTTGAATGGATGAGGATGAATGAGCCTTCACTCCTCTCACCTCGAGCATGTGCAGTTCTCTTTCCAATACTTGGAAGGGCCGGGATGGGAAGAGAACTAATGCTTATATTCAGAAGCTTGCCCAGTCACAAGCACTTCAGGAATGTTCGTGTTTATAATTCTGCAATTTCTGGGCTTTTGACCTCTCAGAGGTTTGATACTTCTACAGGGATTCAGATTTGCACTCTATCTTGTAGATAAAATAGGTTAAATCTTTACAACTTTAGTTTGGTTAGTTAGTTTTCTTTAGTTACTTAGTTAAAATCTTGATGGTTTAGAGTATTTGGTTAGTTAGTGTTCTTAATGGTCATTGGCCTTGACTACATTTTCTAGATCATTTTCATTTTAGAAGAAGTTATAAAAAACATTGCTATGTGGAATGCATGCAACTTGGGACTTAGCTGGGAAATTTCACTTTAATGGCTTTTCAACTAAGATACTTAAGTTTTTTTTAAAAAAAACTAAGCTACTCACAGTTGGAATTTGCCTAGAAACTGAGTTGGACTTTCTCCTATTGTAATATTAGGTATGACGATGCATGGGAGGTCTATGAGATAATGCAGACACATAAGATTAAACCGGATCATGTGACCTGTTCCATTCTGCTCACAGGAATGAGGAAAGAGAGAAATACAGCCAAGGAAGCGTGGGATTTCTTTGAGAAAATGAACAAGGGAGGGGCCATGTGGAGTCTTGAAGTTATAGGTGCCTTAGTCAAATCTTTTTGTGATGAGGGGCTTAAGAGGGAAGCCCTGATTATACAATCTGAAATGGAGAAAAGGGGGATCTCATCAAATGCTATCATATATAACACTATAATGGATGCCTATGGTAAATCAAACCAAATTGAAGAAGCTGAGGGTATATTGGCTGAGATGAAAGTGAAAGGAGTAACACCCACATCGTCCACATATAACATTTTAATGGATGCATATAGCAGAAGGGCACAGCCTGAGGCTGTTGAAGAGCTGATTGAAGAGATGGAAAATACCGGCTTGGAGCCCAATGTAAAATCCTATACATGTCTCATTAGTGCCTATGGCAGGCAAAAGAAAATGAGTCACCGGGCTGCTGATGCATTCTTGAAAATGAAAAGGGTTGGTATAAAACCAAGTTCTCATTCATACACTGCTCTTATACATGCTCATTCTGCCAGTGGGTGGCACGAAAAGGCTTATATTGCATTTCAGAATATGCTGAGGGATGGAGTAAAACCATCAATACACACTTATACTGCCTTGCTTGATGCATCTCGGCGTGCTGGTGACACACAAAGGCTAATGGAAATCTGGAAAACGATGATCAAGGATAAAATTTCAGGGACGAGGGTAACTTTCAATACACTTCTTGATGGGTTCGCTAAACATGGTCATTATGTTGAAGCAAGAGACGTTATATGTGAATTTGCAAAGATTGGTTTGCAGCCCACAGTTATGACATATAATATGCTGATGAATGCATATGCACGGGGAGGGCAAGACTCAAAGCTCCCCCAGCTTCTGCAAGAAATGGAAGCACACAATCTGAAACCCGATTCGGTTACTTATTCCACAATGATTTATGCATTTGTTCGCGTTCGAGATTTCAAAAGCGCATTTTATTATCACAAGCAGATGGTGCAGAGTGGGGAAGTGCCTGATGCTGAATCATATCAGAAGCTCAGGGCAATTTTGGATGCAAAGGCTGCAATCAAGAATAAGAAGGATAGGCGTGCTTTGAAGGGCATTATTAAAAGCAGCATGGGTGTACTGCAGAAGCCAAAAAGGAAAAAAGACAAGTTTTGGAAAAACAGAAAGAATCGAGAAAGAAATTGAAACCGTAGAACAGGTTGATATCAACAGAATGTCTTCTGTTTGGTTTGCTTCTTTAATCTCTGTTGGAGTATTAGGGTAAATCTTCTTCAGTTGCTCTTGTTGAATATTGTTTCACATTGTATATAACATTTATCTGCTACTAATGGGGAAAATCTCAATGTTCACAGAAAGGATGGGAGGATCCTAATCACTTGGAATGGCTAACAAGATCCGAGTAGCTGTTAGAGGTAATTGCTCGATTTTCCCATATTAGCAAGCGTGTCATTTCTCTGACATATTGTTTCATGTGAGTTCTTTCTATGGCCAACTTTCACACCATATGCATACCTAGTTTACAACAAAAACAACCTAGTATTACCTAGTTAATCTAACAAATAATTTCTAAATATATTACTATGTTTTTTTTTTTGACAATTTCACATTGCCAAAATTTAAATGTTATACATTGGTCAAACATGACACGTTTCTTGGGACAGAGGCAGCATTCCAATTTAGAAGTATGTGCACTAACCTCACCAACCCATCGTGAGTTCTCCTAGCATGTTTCATTATATGCATTAATTTTTATGAGAACCCATCTCTCACATGGTTGTATAAAATGTTGTTACCTAACTGAAGGCCACAGTATGGCCAAGTATCATATATTCATATACCATATGGTTCCCAATTCTTCATTGTTCATGCATGACCTTGATTTTGCACCTTTTTTAATCAATTCCGCTTTAAACATTGATTCAAATGGAATTGGATTATTTGATGATCATGTTTGAGGATTGAGGGGAGCATAGAAAAGATTGCGGTACGTCATTACTCTCACTGTCCCAATTTAAACTTCATGGATGCTGCATTCAGTTGTGTTTGATACTGAATGATGTGGTGGGTCATGTTACACTTATAAACTCATAATACACTACGGATGAGGTGGACACCGTGGATTGTATGTGATGGTGTGAACCTTGATGTCATTTCTTGAGTTAAACATACGGAGTATCATTTTCCATGACCCGATAGGCTACGATTGAGATATGCTAAAGTCACAAACTAAATTAACAAAATGCACAAACTTGTCATTTATAAATTTAAATGTCTTCTTTTGTTTAATTATTTGCGATCATTTTATTCTTTTAATGAATTCAGAAATGACAAGTTTGCAAATTTTGTGACTTTTTTGTTTGTGAGTTGTGACTTTTTTGTTTGTGAGTTTGTGAGTTGTGTCTGTGTGTCTGTGTTGGCTTTGGTGTACACTTAGGGTACCCCATGTTGGTGTACCCCTAGCTTAATTCTTCTCTTTATGATTGGATTTGGATTTGAGTTGTGACTTTAGCTTCTTTTTTTTATACTTTAACATTTCTCTTTATGATTGGATTTGAGTTAATTTGGATTTGGGTCAATTCGGGTTTGGCTTGAGAAATGTATTTTCATGACCCAATGTCATCGGGGTTGGATCGACCTAACGAGTTATGACTTTGGTTTTTAAAATTTTTAAATTCACATTAATACTTGTATTTTGTATTGAATAAATTTAAAATATCAAAAAATATGTATTAAATCTATTAGCTTATTTTATTCTAAATTTCGAAGTAAATTTTAGAAATATAAATCAATATAAGGAATTTAAAAAATGCATAAGTTTTAGAAAAAGTAAGATAATTATGCAATACATTAAAATTTTGTCTAAAAATATAAGTTTATACACTAAAACAAGTAGTAAAGTATATGGTTTTAAAAAACTCTTACATTAGTGGGTCGGTCATATCGGGTTTGGGTTCGATCGCGTTTGACTTATTTTTGGCGGGTTATTTTGGGTTCGATCATTAAAACTTTTGTTCAAAACACAGTGTTTTTGGGTTGGATTTTGGTTCAATAACAGGTTGGATCATTTTTTGTTAGGTCTAATTGGTGTTATAGTAACGGCGTTAGGAGTGATTTGGCGATTGGGCTATTCAGAGAAGGCTTGGATTATATTGGGCTTGCCATATAGACTGAATTTTTTAGTATTTGAATGATTCAACAAATACAAGGGCCCAAGGGGACAACCCATTTGTTATGCTGACTGATTATATATAAACAAAGCTTTAAACAACTACAATACCCCTGCTTTTCCAACCATTCCCTTTTTACTTTATCAGCCTCCAAATAAAATTTTAATTTTCTTTTTTAAGTGTCAAGATAAATCTTTCATTTCTTTTTTTTCATAAAAGAAGATGAATAAGTAGCTAACAATATTTCTCCCCTCTAAACAAGTTTTATTCCCTCACTTTTCATTTTTTCAACATTTTTTTAGAACTTTGTAAAGTTAATCTAGATTTTTTATTTAAGGATGAAGGTTTTTTTACAACTTTATGGTGCAAATTTATTGGAGATCCATACCAATTGTGAATATTTTTGGGATTTAACCCTTTATGCATTAAATAGGTGCTATCTTTAAAAATCTGAAACATTCATACTTTTAGTAAGTTTTTCGTGTATCATTTTTAAGAACTTTGATGAAAAGAATACTACTCCTTCCGTCTCATTTTAATATATCTGTTTGAGTGAAGTTATTTTCAAATAAATTTATATGGACATTTGGGTTAGAATTAAAAAATAAAAGTTAAAATTATAAAAATCATATCAAAAAATATATTTCCTTTGTCCATTAATTTCTTTTTCACTTTCCTTTTTGGGTTGTCCAAATTTATTTATCGTTCCCTATTTTGGAAACATACTTTTAATGAATTACCCACTATACCTTTACTTTTTCTCTACACTATTTACTTTATTCTATCACATCAAGAGTAACACAAGTCTTTACACTTTTTAACTTTTTTTAATCTCCGTGCCAAGTTAAATTGTGGAAGAAATTTTTGGACGAAGGGAATACAAAATAAGAGGTGACAAAACTATATTATTTTATTGTCTGAGTCACGAACATAAATAAAAAAAATACTTAAAGATTGATCATTTGAATAGTAAACATGCAACTTAAATTTGAACAGAAAAGGTACAATTTTCAATGTTTCACATATACCAAAGTAGATAGACTACTAAAAGTTGTGCTCAATCTGGCAATGAATGCTAAACCCATCAAACATGATTTGGAAACAACCTGGACCCAAAAGTATCAAACTCTAGCTAATCAACCCGTTTGAAAGCTCATTGGGACACAAGAAACATATGGTGTTGGGGCCTGTTTGGTGTCTTTGACACCTAGGAGGCAAGTTGAGAAACTTATTATATTAAATAAAGAGTAAATTTTATAAATGAGCTTTTATAACAAGAGGTGTTTCATATATCGGGCCGGTTCCATCACCACTTGTCAGTTGTACCACTGGCTTTTTGCCGTACCTTCAGTGCGCCATTCAAAATTAGAAATCATCCTAAATAAGATTAAAATATAAAAAAATACCAAAATATGAGTTTCATGTTTTTATTCTCGAAAAAGGAGTTCACACTGCGATAATGTGACGGTAATGTGGTACTATACATGTGCATATTACTATACTTTTTAGTAATGCACATGACCATGTTTGGTAATGTAATGCATTTCAACTCCTAATTCGGGAATAAAAACATGGAAGTCATATTTTGGTATATTTTCAATGCTTTACTCCTATTTTAGCTTTTTTTCCAAATTGATGATTCCTACGGTTAAGATGGAGATAGGGGTGGGGCTAGGGTAGGGGTAAGGTGCATGGTAGAACTATTGATTTTATGAACAGATCACCGGAAATGTTTCAAAAAGCCAGTGGCAACGGAACCTAGACATTTATATATATTTTTATTTAGAGATCAGAATACTATATTCGTGGTTTTCGTTATATATCTTTTAGCTAGGAAGTTTTTGTGTAAAAATAATATTTGGGTCAAAAAAATAAATTATGATATACCCCATAATTATTAAATTCATAGAATCACAAATATAACATATGAAAATTTAAGATAAATATAAAGAATCTCATACTCTTTAATACTCCTTCCGTTCCACAAAACCCTCCCCTTTCGTCTTTTTTGAATTCCCTAATGAAAAGAATTTGACTCAAATCCAAATTCAAAATTTTTAAGTTTCCCAAACATGGAATTTGAGTCAAATCCGGATTTGAAATCTAAATCCATGTTTCCAAACATACCATAAAAATCTTTCACTTTCTATTAAAAATCACTTTTGCCCTTATCTTTTCATACCCTACCTATCACATCATACTTTTTCACTAATAACTAAACTTTCACATCTTACTTTTACCCATCACATCAGGGGCAATATTAGAAAGTCAACCAAAATTACACTTTTCTTATTTTTGCCAAAAGTCAAAGTGGAAGGTTTAAAGGAACGGAGGGAGTATATAACCTTCATAAAATTTACTCTAGAAATTTTTATGAATAATGCTAGGATACCATCATGATGGTGTAAATTACTTGACCGGTCAAACTATACTAGACCGGGTCTAGAATAGTTTGCTTGATTTGGTAAAGTAAGAAAGGTAAAAACACGCAGAGTGACCGGTAGGACTTTAGGTGGAACACCTGTAGCCCAATTTATATTATAACAGAGAATGCACGGGTGCTTTTACAAGGGAGTTTAGAGAGAATGAATTCGGATCCCTCTTTCTGAGGTTTACATGAGTATTTATACTAGGTTGCAGGGGACAGGATGACGTGCACCCACGTTGGTGCACGTTCTCGGATGGTGAGAAGTGATGGCCTTCGTCGTCTTACTGCCCTGTCCACTTGTGAGAGAATTTGTCCCCTTGTCGCGTTCTAGCTTGGAAAAATTCCTTCAGCATCTCTATTGATTCTCCAGCAATGCCAGCCACTACAGTCCAAGTCCTTTTGGACCCTTCCTGACGACACTCTTCATCGGAAACTCCACCGGTTGGTTTTTGAGGGTTGGATTAGCTAACTTCGAAGGATGGATTTAGACAATGGAATAGTTTGACCGGTATACTATTCGAAGTATACCGGTCAACTTTGGGTCAACCCTTTATCCCTTTTGCTGACGATTCAGGTCCTTCTTTCAAGTTTGACCTCTTTGACCGGTCAACTATCTGGTCCAGTCCTTTGACCGGTCATGGGTGAAATACACTCATCACATCACATGGTGCTTCGTACTATGAGTGCTCTCATGCTTCCGTAGACAAACACAGAAAATCACCGTCCGTATTACACTGACAATTAACGTCTACATTTGTCCGTATGAAGCATGGATGCATTCTTAGTAACACTCACGTGGCGTCACTTTAGCATGACCTAATTTTTATTCGAGCCTATTTTCTTTGTGTCACATAGAGTGGGGTGGCGCCCGCGGACGCGCATTATATAGTACAGTGGAAAATACCCATTTATACAGAAAGGTGGTCCCCAGTCACTGCGTCCGTTCACGTGGCTGGCTGTGAATTGCCGTTAAGATAAAACCATCGCCCCGTTTCCCGGTCCCCTCCCTGCCCTATTTCACATAGGATTCTTTAGGACAGTGGCCCCCGCCCAGGGCTCTTTGGTCCCTAAACATGCAACATGA